AATAATAATAATAAAAATAAAAACGAGAATTGAACTTGAGTTACGTGGTAATAACTAAGAAGTCAGAAACAATATTACACTTTAACTCACTATGTAATTACCATGTAAGTACTTAGTAATTAGGGGACTGTAAAAGGAAGCGTTACCCATGATATAATTTAGAATAAGTAAATGTGAACATAGAGGTTCATTGGACTCAATTTTATTTCAGTTTGACCATCTGCCTTTGTGTTACATCAGTTTGTTGGCTGATCCAGAATCAGTTGGTGCACAAACAACATTTAATTAATCTCAAAGATGAATTAATTTTAAAAAATACATCTAATCTTTAAAATGTACAGAAAACAAACCCAACAATCTTTTGTTCTAGTTCAATTTAATTTTCTGTTTGATCAGAGACAAAATGTGTTTTAAAATCCCACGCATCGCTCCCTTTTGTTATGGGGAAGCTATAAAACTGTTATGGTTTTATGACCATAAAAACACTGGAGCTTGAAGGGCTGGCACGTTACACTTGATAGATCTCCATGGTAACACTGATTTAAACACTAACTGAGCTTCTACTTTAAACCCTGAGATGATCAGATGCTAAACCAAGTGGGACTGACTTCTGACCCTCTGGATAAATGACAGGTGTCACTCAGGCTGAAACATGTACCCGTGAATGGGTTATTGCCTCATATCTGGGAAGCAGATAAATGATGTCCCAGTGGCTACAGCTGCAAGGCAATGACCCCTGACCCCATAGAGGAGGTCTAGATCTTCTCCACATAGTTTCCTGGGAACATGCCTTCTTTTCCCCTTAACCGACCATACCACCAACCAGATGGATCTACAGAAACACAAAGATGGGCATGAAGATGAGCCTTGCTCTGTAAACACTTTAACAACATTACATGTGTATAGCACTTCATTCACACACTGATGAACCACATTGTAGTTACAGGGGATTACTGAGAGAAGCAACCGGTCCCTCTGATACACACCAGCAGGTAGGTGAAGTGCCTTGCCCATGGCCACTACTGACACAGGCAGAGCCTGGGTTTGAACTGGCAACCCACCAGTAACATAGTGAATTAACCCCTGAGCCGCCATCACCCAGCATTGTAACCATTTACATCTGACCTTGGGGAATTATACTGGGCAGGTGGTCACCACTACTCTAAGCACATATTCACACTCTTGATGAGGTCATCGTGAATGAGAACAGTAGACTCACCTGGTTACTTAAAAGTGGAATTTTAAAAAATGAAATAATTTTGAGCTAGCATGGAATTAATAATATTAATAATAATAATAATCATCATCATCATCATCGAACTTATATAGCGCTTGTTTAGGACACTCAAAGACACTTACATGCACTCACATTCACACACTGCTAGTGATGGGAAGCTACTTTGTAGCCACAGCCGCCCTGGGGCGGTTTGACAGAGGCGAGGCTGCCATTTGGCGCTGTCGGCCCCTCTGACCACCACCAACACAGGCAAGTTGGGTGAAGTGTCTTGCCAAAGGACACAACAGCAGAATACCCCTGGCGGGAGCTGGAATCGAACACATGACCTTCCGATCATGAGGCAACCTGCTCTACCACCTGAGCTACTGCTGCCCCTAAACCATTATCCTTAAGTGGAAAATGGTGCCTGTAGGACTTTGAGCAGGATGATCAATACCTTCTTTTATTATCTCGATGACATCATCAGCATTAAAGCTGAGCTCATCGGTGTCCTGAGCATCATAGGCATACAAAGCTCGACAATGAGGAGATCGGGGCTTAGGCTTGGGTCGACCCACTCCTGGAACTGGTTTCACCTCCTTAGAGAGGCGCCGATGCAGCCTGCAGATGAAAACCAGGGAAACCTGTCACTAGTGAGACGATAGACCTTCATCACCTTGGCTCAGATACAAGACAGAAACCATTAACCTGGCAGTTGCTGGTTACATGGGCACTTTTATTGGTAAAACTGGATAGCTTTACTTGATTTTCTGTTAATAATAATTAATACATTTTTGGTTCTAGTGTTTGAGCATCTCACCCTGCTGCACCCTGATCAGGGACACCCATGAAGCCCATATCCTGGTTCTGAGAGGGCTGGTTGCCAGAGCGATGTTTGTTGTGGAGGCGGGGCAATGTGGGGTGCTCCATGCTGGCCTGCTTCTTCAGCAGAGAGCCTCTGTAGGAGGTATGCTGTCCTTTTTGTGCCTTACTTCCTCTCAAGGAGGCTTCTCAAAGAAAAACAAAGATATTACCCAATCAGACATAGAGGCTGTGACACCTGAAGGTAGTAACACGTACCAGAGTTGTCCTGGTTAGTGGGCGCAGCTCTGCTGCCAGCGTAACAGCTTTTGCGGTTGTCCTTTCTTGTTGGTCCTACAGATCATACACAGGAAGTTATGTTAAGCCAACAATGTTTCAGACCTTGTGATGGAATCCGGTTGGACCTTACTAGAATTTTTGGGGAGACCCGGTCCGATGGAGACTTGCAGGACTTTCCCACTCGGCTTAAGCAACACCGTATCCCCTTGACCTGCTTGAAACTGGATTTGCCTGGAGCCTGAAGAGCTAAATGGAATCCAGCCTCCCTTCTTCACTTTAAACTCCAGACTGAAGGGAGATGGAATACAGAACAGAAAGGGTCTTGGAATCATACAAAAGAATCTGGACAGCAGAGTGGGGTCAGAAGCATCAGAAAACAACAGAGCAGACTGTTTAATACTCACAGGTTGTTGAATTTCAGAGGCAGTTTCTTCTCAGTCTTCTCTTGGTAACGTTTTACCAGAAGACTGAGGAATTCTGTTTTAAAGACGCTCTGAAGAACGCTGTCGTACTCCTCCTCGTGGACGATGAAGATGTCATCCTGCAGGGTACTGGCAGAAGGACGGGTGTCAGGGACACAGGACAGCTACAGGTCTTTCAGCTTTAGTTCTGGTTCTGACACTGATTATAGTTTTGTCTCCTGATTTTAGTTCCAGTTCTGAGTTCTCATACCTCAGAGAAACGGACTGGACTTTGTTGAGCTCAATCTTCCTTTTCAGAACCTCTTGGATCTGGCCTTTATCTGGACCCTGCTTCACCTTCTCACGTCCAATCATGTACAGGAACTTTGGGGTCAGGATGAGGTCCCGTTTTACTGTCTGTAGAACATGAACATGTGAGACAACCAGAAGAAAGCTGGTTGTATTGGACGAGCAGCAAACCATCAACCTCTGAACTAAAACATCTGGATCACAGCAACAACAACAACAGCTAAAGTGAAAGCAGCAGACCCTTGAGAATAAAATCAGACCAGTGTCTCTGAGATCTGGACAACTGAGAATTTTACCAACGTAGGGGACTGTACAGTCCTGTTGTGGCATCTCACAAGATCAAGACCCAGCACATATGCCGTGGATGCCAGTGGCCATAAAACAGCTGCAGGCGGCAAAAAATAGACCACAGAGGGTGAGAACAGCTGAGGTTGGTGATAGAATTCAAACTGGAGAGTATACAACTCAAGAAAATGCCACAAAATCCGGCAGGGAATCTGTTCAAATGGCTTTTATTTGTATAGTGCATTCACTCACACACACACTGGCTGAGATGAGCTACATTGAAGCCACAGCTGCCCTGGGGTATACTGGCAGAGGTGAGGCTGCTACAAAATCTACACCAACAGTCTCTCAGATCATTACCAGCAGGCAAGGAGGGTGAACTGTCTTGCCCAAGGACACAACGACAAGCAACTCTCAGGTTATGAGGTAGACAATTAACTCATCTTCCACTGTCACCCCCGAAGATGTTTAGTCTATTACTAAGTCCTCATCACGGGCTTAATGTCACAAATCCAGAGTCAGTGATACACAAGTCCATCCTCACAGCCTCCTAATTATTATTAACAACTTAAATAATCATCACCTCCTCAAAAAAAGAGGTAGGTAGTCAGCTTATTGCTCCGGAGCATTCAGGGTTGTGTTAACATACGAGGGAGAAATCAGCAGGAGTAGCTTTTGCTCCCCCATCATTCAAAGGAGGTGACACCACCACATTAAATAAATACATCTCAACTTCTAAACTCTGCATTTTAGCAAAGAACGTAGAACAGCCGGTGAGGGATCAGATAGGGGACAATTTGTGTTCTTTAACATCAATTTTTTTTTTTTTTGCCTTAGTCTGGCTTCAGGATGCAGCATAGTGTTTCTGTTTAGCCAGAAACGGTTTAAATGATGAATTGAATGTCAAAGACTACGCTGTTGCTGTTGACTGAGACTTAGCCAGAGCATATTGGATACTCAGACGAGACTGCTGGCTGGTTTTCTAACCATCTTTCAGGTTGTAAGCTGTGTGCTTCTTGCTGCAGAATACCTAACTCTCACCACGGGCGTGCCCCAAGGCTCAATTTTAGGACCCACTTCTTTCACAATTTAAATGAATGATGCTGCTCAAATAATTATGATAGCGTCTTTACACTTTTATGCTGATATTGTTTACTCTCATGTAAAACTGTAGCCCAGGTCTTTAAACATCTAACTGTATTTGAATCTATTTTCTGACAAGCTATTGTAAATGCTAATAAAACAAATAGCATGCTGTTCTCAAATTTAAACACGATGCCCGTCTTTCTTCTACCCATTATCTCAGCTAAAGGTGCAATCGAGTCTGTGGACCTAAGAATTTCAATTGATGCCAATCTTTTTTTTTTAAATTGCACATTGAAAATCTCTCAGAGAACCTGAAACTAAAGCCAGTGTTCCAAACATACCAGTAATTACCACTTTCTTACCACCTGTACATTATGTTAACATGACTGAATCTGCTAGCTCTATATGGATGTCGAATGCCGTTTACCATGTAGATGTAACATTAGTAAAAACAACAGATTTCTCCCAGCTTGATGGTTCTCAGCTTAAAAAGAGAAGTACAGAATGGCCGGTCCAATACTTCACTTAGCATGCGGTGAACTCCATGGGATCTTGAGAACTGAATCCAAGATGGCGCCGGAACCGCTCCATCAATCCGGATGCCCCGAACTCCGGCCAAATCAAAGCCGGCAGATCCACAGACACCACAGAGACCACGCCGTGCCCCAGACCAGGAAGGCCCCGATCGGACCAGCGCAGCAATGAGTCATGCGATTGTCCACCCCACGTGTGTCACCGTGTCCAGCGAACCAGACCAAGTCACAACACTGTGATTTCACAGATTGGCCACACCGCACCACCGACCAACAGCCGTCCCGACTAGCTTCACCAAAAACCGAGCTCTCCGATTCAACAAAAGAAAAGAGTCCCTTCATCTTCTGTCTTCCTTTTGCTGGAAAGTAAACAGTTTAGAAGCAAATGCATGACCTTGAGGCTGTCTCATGCACTCTGGTTCTGTGTCAAAGGCAACTGTGGATAGAGGATAAATAACCTTGGAGGAATAGCTCCTTCATCACGTTACATAGAGATAAGATTCACAACTAGCGGTAATTATCTCACTCACTCTATTGTTACCTGTTCACCATCAACATAGATTTTACTATTGATTTTGTCTCCCAGAGAGACTAGTTATAGCCTGGGAATCTAGTTACAGCCATAAGGGTCTTATTTATAAAACTTTGTGTAGAATCCTTACTCAAACCTCAGCCAATATATATATTTTTTTACTTTGCAAACTAATTTGCCAATCTAAAGACACTAGTTACAGACAGTTTCAGGCAATTCCTGCTATTTAAATGCACCTCTGCCCCAGTTTGCAGCCGCTTGGTGTCCCCACAGCGACTAAGCAGTTATGTTTTAAGGTTACACTCACGCACATCGAACAATTAATGCTCAAATACATAATTTGAGGACACATGAAGAACGTAGTGTCATATGTTTAAATGTTTTTTTCTGATTATTTTCAGTTCAGAGACACAGTGAGGCTTCTAGAAGTCTGAAAATGTAGCATAGTGGGAAATGACTGCCTGAATCTGCACAAACCTGAATCTGCGCTCTCTGGGTCTGAAGTCATGTAATATTGTGGAATTCACACAGAAGGAGGCAGGGTTTCCTCAAATCCAAGCGTCTCATTTGCAGGCAGAAGGTATGGCTTGCTAAAATAATTAATATTTTATAACAAATAACATCTCAATAGCACCAATGGCAATATTTTATCATACATTGTGTCCGTCTTGGTGTAACGTAGCATGATACAGGTCTTTTAATCTTTTTCCATCAGATAAGACTGAGTGTATACTAAACAAGTTTGAGCATTCCACCTTAAATCTTCGGTCAAACTTCACCACCACATCAGCGAAGTCGATTCTTTCTCTTCGTCCAACGAATTGTCTGATCTCAGGATGGTTTTCAGTTCCAATGTAGTCACCCATGAAGTTCCTGTTGATGCTGTTTCTGCGCCGTTCTTTCTTGTTCAGGAGAATATCTGAGGCTGAAGGACAAAAAAAAGTCTAAGTGAGACTCAGAAGGTCCTGGATAGCTGCAGTAAACTAGTCTTACCTTCTTCCCTCATCTTGACATATTTGCGGACGGCGATGTGTTTGCGCCACGCCTTCTGAATGACACGAGCATAACCATTGTACTTCCTCTCCCTCATTTCCTCCAGCAGGAATAGCTGTGATGAAAAGTATCCTTCAGTTCATGTTTCAAAATCCTGGCTCTGCTTCAGAATCTCTGAGCTTCAATATTTCTCAAATCACAAAATGGATTCAGAAAGTCTTCAGCAGGAAAAACTTCTTCCTGAAATACTTTTTACCGATTCTGGTGCTTTGATGAAGAGTTTAGCTTTTCCCAGCTGGAACTGATCCTGATCCATGTTGACAGACTGGAGGAGATGCAGGACGCCCTTACGCTCCTCACCCCTCCACTGAGGCCAGGTCTCCTTGGTCAGGATGGCATATCTGCAGCATACCTTATTAGGACCCTTGGAGAAGCATGGTTTTCACATTCCTTCTGTATCTGATGTCTCACCTGTGCAGAAACTTATTGAAGGGTCGTCGGTATGCATATCCAGCCCGACGGACACGGATGTTCTCCCGGAGGCCCAGGTACTCCACCTGGTGTCTAGCACGGTTGTCTTCCCAGTCCCGGGGACGTTTGGTCTCATTGGGTTTAATACAGCGGATGTAGTGGGGGGTGCACTTCATGAGGGTTTGGACCAGACTATTTGCTTGTTTCTAGGAAAGTAGGGAGGGAAATATCACTGTTTTACCTATGGTAACTGTTGGTTGTTGGGAGTCCAATATCATTTTTATTATTTATGTATTTGATTACTACTACCTGTGAAGAATTTGTCTCACCTTGATCTTGCTGCTAGCTGTGGTTGGCCTCCCTCTTTTTTCTGCCTCCAGGTTCTCCGGGAACAACGCTTTAATGAACGGACTGACCACAAACACATCGTGCATACAATTCAAAATGGGATTGCCACAGTGCACAGCGCTTTTCAGGCGCTTATTAAGAACTTTGTGATAATGGTGAAAGTGAAGCTTACTGAGGTTTTAATGAAGCCTAGAAATCTAGACGGACCGTAACAGAAGCAGAATGATTTTGCTTTGCACAGTGCCCCATCGGTTTTGTGGGCACGATGATGCAACTCAGCAAAACAACTACGATGGCGTTGGCTCATTTGAAACGGCTTTGGTATCAGCTTTGGACCGTTTAGACTTGGGCTTTACTTTGAGATAAGAGCAGATAGAGATACTTGAGGCCTTTATTTAGAAAAAGAATGTATTTGCGTCTTCTTTGACAGTGTATGGTGGACTGCCCCATTGACCGACATCCGTAGCAGTGAGTATCATGTTGTTGGTTGTCCAATAGCATGCAGAGATAGTTTCAAAGACAATCCCACCCCACAAATGAACTCTATCACGTCATGGCCGGACTACATGTTCACATCAACACATGGCTTGCCAGGCTAATTTGAGCATTGAACAAGCTGAAATCGAAACACCTGCTGGTAAAAATCTGATGGTAGTGAAATCACCAAACCAGATGCGAAGACATCAAAACACCTTTCAGACGTGCTTTAAAAGCAACATCTGTGTCAAAACTGTAGACCACTTAATTATCCAAATCATTCTGAAAACTCACAACTCGCTGCTTTGCATCAGCTCAATGATGTCGGTGAACAAAACGTCCCTGTTCCTCTCACAGAACCCAGTGACATCATACGACACCTGGAGACACACACACACACACACACACACACACACACACACACACACACACACACACACACACACACACACACACACACACACACACACACACACACACACACACACACACACACACACACACACACACACACACACACACACACACACACACACACACACACACACACAAGCTCAGTGAACAGGTGAGCCCAGTGAAGGGGTAAGCTCTGTGATCAGGTGTAGTGAGGACCTTGCCGGCGTAGTGGTGAACAACGAATCCTTTGTTCCAGCTGCTGAAGTGCTCATGAGATCCGATTTGTCCCTGCAGTTTCTGCAGCAGCGTTTGATCCGCCCCTTCACCTTTAGCATGCATCGTGGCACACACATCATCCAGGATGCTCATGATCCCTGGAGGATTCTGGAAAGCAACCAGACAGATGAATGGTGCGTGGTCTGCTTGAGGAGAAGCTGTTGTTTGATTAAGTTTTAAAAGTTGTACCTTCAAGGTTTTGCAGCATAAAGTGTGTATCAGTACCTGTGTTGGGTTTTGGCTCAGTGGGTCATACTCATTACCGTACCTTTCAGTCTGTCCTAAACAGGAGGCTGCCAGCTTGAGTTATTCTATTTCCTGTCTGCCCTTATAAAATAAAATCCCCTGCTCACTCAGCTCTCCTGTAAAGAACACAATTGAGTAGGTCACCCTGAGTCGTGATTGGTCAACTCACCAGTTTGGACTCGATGAGGTCACAGACAACTTTGTTATTAAAGTACTCAATAGGTGTCCATTTGATTCCCTCTTTAACATATTCCTCCTGCAGACACACGACAACATGATCAGCACAAACACACTTCTGGTGAATATCAACAGAAACGTGTGACAAATCTAAAATTGTCCTAACATGTCTACAAATTTTAAACCTGTGAGATTAAAACAGACGACTAGATGGCTTGTTTTCTGTGGCTACCAGATGTGATAATGAGCTGGAGCAGAGACCATGTCACAGTTTAACACCTGGGGTCCAGATGGTGTTCATCAAAAACAGTTTACCTGTTCGGCCTTCAGCGTGAGTTCAATAAAAATCTGCTGCAACTTCTCGTTCACAAAGTTGATGCAAAACTGTTCAAATCCATTTTGCTGAAAGGAAAATATTCAAACAGACGATCAATAATTGAACCAATCAGTAAATCTATCGCTGTATGTTGGCTGTACAATCCTGATCAAAGCTCAGCTGACTGAGTTTCTCCACCTGTTCTTACTGTAGGGGGCAGTGTTCACACTGACACCATTTAGGTTCAGTTCATCTCAACAACAAGCAGCGGAGAACCCCTCAGCAGTGAATGGTTACACTACTGATAGGTATCTCAAGAAACCCTTTAGCATTACCCCATATAGAAAATCTGAGGTACTGAGTGAAGCTCAGTTCCAAATATAAAGCTAGCTTGACTTTGTACCTGGAAAATCTCAAAGCCGTAGATATCCAGCACTCCAATGTTGTGTTCTTCCTGCTCCTTCTGCATGGCTTTATTGATACTCTGGCACAACGACACAATAGACACTGAGTGAGCAGGAAAAGCACACGGACATGAAGTAGATTCTGCACACCGGCTGCAGGGACTCACATCAACAAGAAAGTCAAAGAGACGAGCGTACAGAGCTTTGGACAGGGCATCTCTGGAGAAACAGGCCTGCTCCGTGTTCAAGGTGACAGAGATGGTCTCGGTTTTCCCACCCCACTTACTGTCCATGATCCGGCTGGTGAGTTTACTGCAGAGGGCGTTCTGAGGGATACCCAGCAGGTATGATGGGAAGGCCAGGACTAACAGGAAGACACACAAACACACATACCTGTGAAATCATAGATGCAGTAACAACCTGGTGACAATCCTGATGATCTACTGCAGAATATCTTGGGTCTACACTCCTCAACCTGGACTTCTCTGAAGTGAGTTGCAATCTTACAATCCTGACTCTCCACCACAGCGTAGTTGTTTTCCTCCCTGAAGCTGATGTTTCCCAGGTGGAGAATTCCTGCTACGAGCTGAACAACTGAATCCTGATCATCCAAAGACAGACCCACAACAGACATGGCCCCCTGAAGGACACAGAGTTAAATACAAGTATGCACCACAGTACGCAGACATATACCACAGTACACAGATATACACATGGGCATACACACAGGTGTACACAGATTGCACCTTCACAGATCAATCCTCTCCATGTCTCCTTGTTGTTGGTCATTTTTTCCTCAGTTCTTCAGACTTGTCTTGATACTACTTATATAACTTTTCTTTTGCATTTGAGTATTTGAAATGGTCCACATTTTAAGCCTATTGTGGATGATAAAGTATGGGGTAAAGTAGGAATTACAGGTGTGCTGCTACTATTGGGTGGTAGTCTGAGTCTTAATGGGTAGCCCAAGATCCAATGGCATGGGCACATGACAAATTAGGACCACCCGCTATTACAGCCTTTGTCTGCCATCACTGCTGGTGTGACTTATTCATTTTCTGCCAAGTATTCAGTTTAGATCTGGTTTGGACCCCCCTTTGTTTGGAACCTGCCCTTTGAACTTATCGCTATGAGTTACCCTGCCAGAACCAAAAGCTCAGGACAGCATTGCTCTCAGGATCATTGGCACCTGCAAGCTTATCCACCACAGCAAGGTGGTGATCCAGTGACACACAGGTATACACATATGTTTACATATAGCTACGAGCAGGGACACATAGATGACAGTGATGGAATGTTACTAAGTACAAGTACTTTATTACTGTACTTGAGTACATTTTTCTGTACTGTAATTTCTGTTATTGTTATTTTCTTGAGGCCTACGTTGAGCTTTTACTCCACTACATTTTAATGCAATTGTCTGTACTTTCTACTCCACATCATTTTCTAAATATTTTCAAAAGTACTTTCATTTGCATTTTGTCCAGCCCTCACCCCACCCCCGCTCTGCTGATGGAGACCAGCAGCACACTCCCTTGCCTGTGCTCGAGACTGCAGTACCAAAGTCAAAAGCTCTGTAATTAGGGTTTTTTCTACAACACACGTCTACAGACACAATGCATATTCAAATGTTAGAATACTTTTAAGTACATTTGAAAATGCATCCTTCAATTATTTTACTTAAGACAAATATCTATAGGATAATTCCACTCTTACTTAAGCAATATTTTTTACCTCAATCTGTACTTTTACTTAACCCTTTGATGCATAAAGGTCACTACAGTGGACAGGTACTCAAAATTGTTATTTATTTTTGCGATTAAGCACAGCTGTTGAAGACTTTATTGCATGTGAGCCCCTCCATTTGGACTTCAGTAAGTCAAGCCAACATATTTCATGCTCAGAATGCACGCTGTCCACTGAGCTGGACATGTAATAAATTATTTGTAAATTAACAAAATGTTACAAAAAATATTTGTTGAAATTTGTTTCATTCACACCTAAAGATGAATGAAAAAAAATTGTTTGAAAAAATCATGGTTGAAGATCTCATAATTCATGCATCAAAGGGTTAAGTAAAGAAAATAAATCAAGTACTTCTTCCACCACCACTGACAGAAGGTAATGGGCAGATTAGAGTACCATAGTATCTGAGAACTCCTTCTTGTCATTTATGTCCTCCACAGTGTAGGTTCCTGACTGGTTCAGGTAATAGTAGTAGTCAGGTGTTGTGACGCCCAGGTTCTCCCTCTGCTCCTTGCTAGCCCCACCTAGCAGCTGACATCACAAACAGGTATAGTACAGTTACATCAGTTTTTTAAATGAGGAGAAAGAAGTATAAATTTATAAGGACAAACTATTATACATGTTGTAGTATGTTCTGCAATACATTTTGTAGTACCTGGTAGTAGATATGGAAGTTTCTCTCTCCTGGATTCTGGGAAACCACTCGACTTTTCTCCAACAGGAAGTTGGAGATTTTTCCTCCATCAGGAGCTCCCCCTCGACTGAACTGAATCTCAAAGTATTTTCCCTGAAAGAGTACACATCTGTCAGTCTGTGTCTGTACTTTTGAGAATGGGTATTGATACTATGAATTTATACTCACAAATCTACTGGAATTGTTGTTGCGAACAGTCTTGGCATTTCCAAAGGCCTCCAGCAGTGGATTGGACTGCAGGATGATATCTTTGACATGCTGCGTGGTGTTTGGTGATGGTTACCAGAGCAACCGTGGTAGCAACATGTAAATGAAATACGTCTTTATGAGCCATTGCTACTGCTGTTCATGTTTGTGTGACTTCAGAATTAATCCAATGATGATATCAGAAAGCTGGCAACCAGGGTGACAGTCGCCGATTAACCTCTAATCGAGTCTGCTCTAGAGTCAGCGAGTTGGAGGGTGAGCATATAGAGACCTCTGAAAACTGATCTTGAATACAGTTTGTTAGAACGGACACTCACCTGAACCGTCTCTCCTCCTCCAGAAACCTTAGAGACATAACTCATGATGTATTTGGCAGCAACAGTTTTTCCTGCTCCGCTCTCGCCACTGAAAAACACCATGACACAATCGGTTTCAAAAATCGAAATGGATTACATCGGTGAATTTGAAGCCACACCCACCTAATGATGACACACTGGTTCTCAGCATCAATCATCATGTTCCTGTACATATTGTCTGCCAACGCATAGATGTGGGGGGGATTCTCGTACTGAGCCTGGGGTGGGGGTGAAGGGTGGGCGTTAGTCACTCTTTGTATAGATGTGTGTGTGTGTGTGTGTGTGTGTGTGTGTGTGTGTGTGTGTGTGTGTGTGTGTGTGTGTGTGTGTGTGTGTGTGTCTCACCGCTCCCTGGTATAGCTCCACCTCTCTGTCAGTGAAATATGGCAGCTGTTTGAACGGGTTCACTGAGATTAGAACTGGACCAATATAAGTCTGACAAAAGCAGGTCAAGGATGGGACGTAAATCAGAACTATAAATGAAACCAAAACCAGAACCACCACCTTGTCTCATGGACTCTTTTCTGAAGACAGATGGAGGGGGACCAGCAGGGACAGATGGAGGGGGACCAGCAAAGACAGACCGTGTAGAGGATACAAAGATGTAGTCGTCCATGTATCTCTTCTTCAGGTTGTCGGTGATGGCGTCCTCGTTGATCTTGGATAGAAGCACCATGTCATCCACGCCGCTCACCTTTACATTCTGGGCCTGCCAGTGGTACTGCTCCTTACTGCCCTGAGGGGGCAACATAGTCACAGTCAGATTGACCCCCATTGACCCCTTGACCTCCCCATGTGATTCAGACTGCACTCGGACTACCAATAAAAGTGAATAAATACAATTATTTGACTTTTCCACTGGATTTTAGTCTTGATCCAGCAGAATGCACCTGTCTGAACTGGCAGACCAAGAAGGGTTTTGCTTCCAACAAGCCTCAGAAAACCCAAATCCTTTAAAGATGGGGAACACTTGTTTAATCAAAACGTTTGCAGGGGTCTTTAGTAGGAATAAATGCTTTGTAAGTTGTACTCTGGGAGAAAGAGCTCCAGTGCACGGTTTCAGGAGCCATAAAATTGCCACATCAGAGCTGAGCTTTAGACAGGATTTGGAGTCTTATTTCCTGATATTTGGACATCTCGCCTCTGACTGGATTACAGCAACATGACTCTACAACTGACTGTTTGCTCTGCAACATTTAGTGTGTTTACACACACATCTAAGTCTATGTAGGTCGATCCAAAGCAATAAACTGGCAGCCTTCATCCTAGTTTACACGTTATCAGAATCATCCCTTCTTTTGTGTTTGTTTTGTTTTACCTCTGAGTCGGAGTGACATCTCTCCACCTGCAACTATGACTGCTGTTTCCATTGAAACAAAGTTGTCTTTCAGAAAGTAAACAGCAAAAAAGGGTCAAACTTCATGAACACAGAGATCTGATTGGCTGGTTTCAACTGACATTAGAATGATGTCAATGACTCCACCCTTGTAGAGTCTCCTTGTGCCCTACTGTCTCCAGAGCCTTGCTGCTGCTGCATTCCCAACATTTCTGTCTTGCAAGAACATGCCGAAATGCAGGAAGCAGTGTGTGTGTGTGTGTGTGTGTGTGTGTGTGTGTGTGTGTCTACATGAGCAAAAATAATAAACTGATGATTACTGCACATCTGAATTACCAGAGTATCTTCCCTTCCTAATTAATATTTGTGCAGGTGAAGCTCATTTGGACTCGGAAGCCTCATATCCAACACAGGCCGTCATACCAACAGCAGCTTATTGCAAACAGATACAATAATAATTTAGTAGAGTTGTTTCGTAAACATAATTTAAAGAAAAGAAAAAAACAAAGGAAAGAAGCTCAATAAAATGATTAAATCCTCACAAACAAATATGGTGCAGAATGGAAGATGGTGCTAAAAACAAGAATGAGAATTCAGGATTTTTTAAAGTTCCTTAAATGTTTTTGGGAAAGCCTCAATAAAATCAGACTGGTTAGTACATTGTTCAAGCTAAAGCAGAGTTAGAGAATGCATTTTACCACGCTCTATACATAACTAGTCTGTCAAGCTACAACTAGTATTCAAGACTAACAGGCTGTCCCTCTGTATGCAACTAATCCTCTCAGCCATAACTAGTCTCCTAGGCTGTAACTAATCTCACTGGTTGAAATTAATTTTCCAGACTGACTAGTCTCACTGGCTGTATCCAGTCTCCTAGGCCAGAGTCAACTCCAATCCAGAGGGCCACTATCCCACATGTTTTAGTTGCTTCACTGCTTCAACACACCTGATTTTAATCAGCAGGTGATTAACGGGCTTCTGCAGAGCCTGATGAGCTGCTGAACAGGTCAATCAACTGTACAGCAGCTCTCACGAGTTATCCACCCCCATCCTAGGCGATAACTAGTCCCTAATGCTAAAACTAGTCTCCCAGGCTTTATTTAATTAGTACATTTTATGCACCGAAGTAATTCAGTGTGCCTTCCAGGTGCCAGGTCAGCAAAACACAAGACATTAAAATCAATGTGATGACATAAAACAGCAATTTGTAAAATCAAAGTTAAAAATACACAAATAAAATTAGATGTAAGAAATTAAATTAAAAAAAGGTAAGGTTAAAGGCTGAGCAGCCACAGTGCAGAAGGCGCAGCATCAGAGCAAAGGCTGATGAATACATGAACATTTTCAGTTTTGATCTAAAAGTTGGGGCACATTTGCGGTCGCGAGGAAGCGAATTCCATCTGTGTGCAGCATAGTGACCAAAAGCAGCTGTAGGTCTGACCCAGGTTTTCACAAGCTTACTGCTTCGTAAGGATCTCAGAGCCCTGCTGGGCATATAAAAGGTGCTGGTCAGAAAATTAGAATATCATTGTAAAGATGATTTATTTCAGTAATTCCATTCAAAATGTGAAACTTGTATAATATATTCATACACACAAACTGATATATTTCAAATGTATATTTCTTTTATTTTTGATGATTATAACAATGATACTGACAATTAATGAATCTCAAATTCTGTATCTCAGAAAATTAGAATATCAATTAAGACTAATGCAAGAAAAGGAATTTTAGATTTTTTTGCCAACTGAAAAGTATGAACATGAAAAGTATGAGCATGTACAGCACTCAATATTTAGTTGGGGCTCCTTTGGCCTGGATTACTGCAGCAATGTGGCGCAGCATGGAGTTGATCAGTCTGTGGCACTGCTCAGGTGGTATGAGACCCATGTTGATCTGATAGTGGCCTTCAGCTCTTCTTAATTGTTGTGTCTAGCCTATTGCATCTTCCTCTTTGGCCAGCAAACTGGCCTGACCTTAACCTCATAGAAGATCTAAGTGATTAACGTCAGGTACCATTAAGGACCATACCATGGTCTTTAAACCAGGTACCAGTAGCTTTAGCACAGTGTGCAGGTGCAGAGTCCATAAAGTCGGTCAGCAGCAGGAAGCATGAAGTGCTCTAAAACTTCCTGGTAGATGGCTGCGTTGACCTTGGACCTCAGAAAACACAACGGACTAACACCAGCAGATGGAACCCCTAACCATCACTGACTGTGGAAACTTTATACTTGACTTCAAACAACGTGAATTATGTACCCTCCTCCGCCAGACTCTGGGACCTTGGCTTCCAAAGGAAATGCAAAATTTACTTTCATCAGAGAACATAACTTTGGACCACTCAGCAGCAGTCCAGTCCTTGTTGTCTGTATCCCAGGTGAGATGTTACTGATGCTGTCTCTTGTTCAAGAGTGGCTTGATGCAAGGAATGCGACAGCTGAATCCATGTCTTGCATACGTCTGTGTGTGGTGATTCTTGAAGCACTGACTCCAGCTGCAGTCCACTCTTTGTGAATCTCCCCCATATTTTTGAAAGGGTTTTGTTTCACACTTCTCTCCAGGGTGCAGTTATCCCTGTTACTTGTGATCTTTTTCCACCACATCTTGTCCTTCTCTTCAACTCTCTGTTAATGTGCTTGGACACAGAGCTCTGAACAACCAGCCTCTTTAGCAATGACTTTTGTGTCTTGCCCTCCTTGTGCATTGGTTTTAATTGATATTCTAATATTCTGGGATATTGAATTTGGGATTTTCATTAGTCATCAGATATAATAATCAAAAATAAACAAATAAGCATTTGAAATACATCAGTCTGTGTGAAAAGAAGAAATCTAATATACAAGATTCACATTTTGAACAGAATTACTGAAATAAATCAACTTTGTCATGTTTATATTTATGTATTTAGCAGACGCTTTTGTCCAAAGTGACTTACAAGTGATCGGCATATTGCCCTTGAGGCTAACAACAACAACATTGACATCAGTCATGGAGAGTAGGGAACAATGAGTAGACAGTAGAGAGGGGGGACGGGTGCAGGCAAGGTGCTGGTTAAGAAGATGCTCTCTGAAGAGCAGGGTCTTCAGGAGTTTCTTGAAAATTGAAAAGGAAGCCGCAGTTCTGGTAGTGCTTGGAAGGTCATTCCACATTTGTGGAACGATGCATGAGAAAAGTCTGGATTGTCCTGAGCGTGGTGTAGGCACTGCTAGCCGATGATCCTGTGATGACCGGAGCGGCCGAGATGTAAGCCTTTACAAGAGGATTCAGGTAGATGGGAGCCGTACCATCTCGGACTTTGTATGCTAGTGTTAGCAATTTGAATTTGATGCGTGCTGCTAGCGGTAGCCAGTGGAGCTCAATGAACAGAGGGGTGACATGTGCCCTTTTTTGGTTGATTGAAGACCAGATGTGCCGCTGCGTTCTGGACCATTTGAAGAGGTCTCACAGTACTGCCTGGAAGACCAGTTAGAAGGGCATTGCATTAATCGAGGCGGGAGATGACAGTAGATTGCACCAGGAGCTGGGTGGCATGTTGTGTTAGGTATGGTCTGATCTTTCGTATGTTATACAGCGCAAAGCGGCATGAACGAGCAACGAAGGCAAAATGATCTTTAAAGCTCAGGTGTTCATCAATCACAACACCCAGATTTCGAACTGCCTTTGAAGGAGCCAGAGATAGGAAGTCATTTCGGATAGAGATATTGTGCTGTATGGATGGTTTTGCTGGGATGACAAGTAGTTCAGTTTTAGAGAGGTTGAGTTGGAGATGGTGGGATTTCATCCATTTTGATATGTCAGAGAGACAGTTTGATATTCGTGCAGAAACAATGTGGTCGTCTGGTGGAAATGACAGATAGACCTGGGTGTCGTCTGCATAGCAGTGGTAGGAGAAGGCATGTGATCGAATGATCTCAGTGAGGTGGTGTATATGGCAAAGAGAAGAGGTCCTAGTACTGAGTCCTGGGGGACTCCTGTGGCAAGATGGTGCATGGTAGAGGATTGTCCAAGCCAAGATACACTGAATGATCGTCCTGTGAGGTACGATTCAAACCAGGCGTGTGCTTTCTCTGTGATGCCCATGGTAGAGAGTGTGGACAAAAGGAAGCCATGGTTGACAGTGCCAAATGCAGCCGGTAAGTCGAGCAGGATAAGCACTGAGGATTTGCCTGTCGCTCTAGCTTCTTTTAAGGATTCAGTCACTGCTAACAGAGCAGTTTCAGTGGAGTGGGCCTTTTTGAACCCAGATTGGTAAGGGTCAAGCAAACAGTTTTGTGAGAGGTATTCTGTGATCTGCTTGAAAGCCACCCTTTCAATGATTTTGGACAGAAAAGGGAGGAAAGAGATAGGTCGGTAGTTCGGTAGTTCTCCACATGATTTGGAGGAAGAGATGTGTTTTTTTAGCAGCGGTTTAACCTGAGCATGCTTGAGAGAGGTGGGAAATGTACCGGATGTCAGTGATGCGTTGATCACATGTATGACTGGTGCGGCTACTGTAGGAGCAATAGCTTGGAGCAGCTTAGTCGGAATGGGGTAAAGTGGGCATGTAGTAGGGCGGCTGCACGTGAGAAGCTTGGACACACAGTTCTCAGTGACAGGGAAAAAGAGGAAAATGAAGCAGTAGAGCCTGAGATGGTTGGGCTTGAAGTAGTTTGTGGTAGTGAATGTTCAGGAGTGGCCAGTTGAGTAAACTGTTAGCTTATAGCTGCCACTTTGTCAGTGAATGAGGCAAAGGTGTCAGCTGATAGATTGTCATAATATTCTAATTTTATGACCAGCACCTGTATACTGAAATTCAACTTGTATTCTGGCCCCATGCCATTTATAAACTAGTAGAAGAACTTTGAAAACGATTCAGTGGTTTACTGGTAACCAGTGTGGAGATTTACGAACAGGAGTGACGTGTTTGGTTCTCTTGGTTCTTGATAAGACTAACAGCAGCATTCTGAACAAGCTGCTGTTGCTTCACATCTTTTTTGGAAAGACTAAACAAAAGACCATTGCAATAGTCCAGCCTACTGGTGATGAATGCATGAATGAGTTTCTCAAGGTCCTGTCTGAATATGAGACCCCTGAGTCTTGCTATTTGATGAAGATGATAAAACGCTGATTTAGTTATAGCCTAAGCTTAATGTGACCAGTGAAGCTCAGGTCTGAATCAATTATGCCACCAAAATTTCTAACCTGAAATAAGACTCCTGCTGAATAAATATTTCAGTGAAAAGTTCATTTGGGTAATTTTTTTGTTTATTTTCAGAACACTGAACAGAGACTTGTTGATGACTAACCTGGATCCATCACTGTTTTGCTGTGCTCTGATTGGACTAAAAAAAAAACTCAAACAAACAAACTGTCTTTAAAGCTGTAAACAAAAATTAAGACATGGAAACAAACTGACCAGTAAAATCAGTTCAACTCAGATGAGTTTTATAGTTTTGATTTACATTTAAATGAACTTGTTTTCATTAGATTTGAACAGGAAAGGTTTGTAGTCTTTAACTGGGCATTTCACAGAGCCAGGACTCATTGGCGGTGAACTCACCATGTCTGCTGCAGTCGTACTTCCTGCTTCAGTTTAGGGTTGAGAAATCTTGAGTCAGTGAGATCCAGATGGATCAGGGTGATCCAGGTAATCTAGTTGAACTCAGGACCAACTTGGACCTGCTCTGTGCTGAAGGGACACCTCAGGTTTGGTTTTCTTGTAACATGTTTTTCTGAGTCAAGCTTCTGTTTTTCTTCCTTCAGTCTTCAGAGTCTCGACTCTGCAGGTGTGGGCAGGTAATGCCCCTCCCTCCCATTCCTCTGGAACTCTGGGTAATAGTTTTAGTTCTTCCAGAGCCCAGAGACTCTGCTGTCACCCAGGGACCACAGCTAGAACAGCATAACCAGGTTTATGTTAGCCCACTGGTTCTGTTTGTAAAGAATCCTCTTATATTGTCTGTATTTTTTATTATTAGAAATGTTTTACTTGTGGCTGTTGTGATTAATTTATTTCTATACTTCAGCTTCCTGTTTTTTTGACCAGAACCAGAATTCTGAGTTAATGATTTAAAACATCCAATTGGGGCTTCAGGTCCACATGGCTCCTGCAGACAGAATCAAGTTGCTTCAGCTTGAACAGGTGGAGGCGGAGCCTCTTGGCTGTTATGCAAGAGAGTGGTTTCAGCTCAGCAGGCATCTAGCTCAGAAGGTAGAGCAGGTTGTCCAGCAATCGGAGGGTTGTAGGATCGATCCCAGCTCCCGGCAGAGAATTCTGCTGTTGTGTCCTTGGGTAAGACACATACCCACATTACCTGCTGGTGGTGGTCGGAGGGACCAGTTGCGCCTGTGCCCAGCTGCCTCGCCTCTGTCAGTGTGCCCCGAGGCAACTGTGGCTACAATGTAGCTCACCCCCACCAGCATGTGAATGTGTGTGTGTGAATGAAATAATGATACACTGTCGTGTAAAACACTTTGGAGTTCTGATTCTGAAAGGCTCTATATAAACACAGGTCATGTACCATCTGCAGGTCGACACCAGCTGGTTTTAATGGATCAAACAAACTGATAAAAGTCCAACAGCTAAAACAGTCTGGAAGTTTAATCAGTCTGTTCCATGAGAACTTCTTGTTCACCTGTAAACACCAGTCACTTGCTCAATGTTCACATTCCAAAGTAAAACTAGGCTGCTCTCGGATTGGCCAAGAGTCCTGCTGAAAAGCCAACAGGAGCAGTCCAAACAAATATGGAAAATAAAGAAAAGGAACATTAAAGAATCTAGACAAAACAAAGAGGAAACACAAATCTTCTAAAGAAAACAATAAATAAATGAAGACACAAATGAAATGAGCTGGAGGTCACATGATGCCATTGGTGAGGTACTGGAAGCCGTCGTACAGTTTGGTGGTGAGCGACCTCATTGATCCATCTACCAGCTGATCAATCAGCAGCTGAAGCTGTTCCTCAGTCAAACTCATGTGGAAACGCTCCTTTAGACCTCGCATGGTGCTGGATCCATGAAAACAGGGCAGCTGTGAGCCTGGGGGCACACAGGGGGAGGGTTAGTACTGTTAGGGCAGTGAATGGTGCTGCAGGTTTGACAGCGTGCTAACCTTGCTGCATGATCTCAACAATCTGCAGAACTCGTTCCATGTGCTTCCTGGCTGCAATCAGACCCTGCAGCATCAGCATCTTATAGTAGTTAAACATGTCCCCATCTGGCCCGCCCATCACCTGTCAGACAAGACACAGGGTTTAATATCACAATCACCTCAGACACAAATCATGCATTGTGGTAACAGATCATGCTAATGCTAACAGCTGATCATAAAGGGATTGTCCGACTGTTGATCTTTTTTACCCATTGGAGCATAAATGTCTCGTCTCCTCCTAAAGATTGTTGTTCTGACGAAACGTTAAAGATTAAAAACTGTTAAGTTAAAATTTTACTGTAAAAACAGCAGTTTTTTTCTGATGATATTCATATATAGGGGAGTAACATTCCACCTATGCATATTCAGATGTTCGTTACGGACGCTTAATGCATTGCGTTTTAGCCAGCAATGCATGCAGCTGTGTAATTGTTTCTTACCTCTGCATATGTTCTGTTGCCTAGCAACTGTGAGAGCATTCAACAGAGGTTAAGACTAAACTCAGCAGCAACACAGAGACAGGTGATTCACAATGCAAATGCCTTAAGGGAAAAGCCAAAAGCGAGATAACGTTTATTTTGAGGGTGATGCATCAACCTTCAGTCTAAACTGCAGACAATTTTGCTTCAGAGGCGACACGTTAGCACCTGCATTAGCCAGTTAGCTAACAGCTATGTTATGGTGTCTGAATTCCTGCCTGCTGTAAATTATGAGACGTTATGTTGTCCAGATAGCACAGAATATTGATGTGGTGGAACTTGTTGAATCTTTTCTACTCGAGTCAACCGGTCCAGACAACCTACCTGCGTCAGTCACGGGATTTTTTGGCCCTCTTCTATTGTAGGTCCAGAAATTTCTGGAGCTGTATGGTTAGGGCTGAGCAACAACACAGTCCACTGATTAGTCGACAGAATGATTTCACTACTTGCAACAAGCAAAACAAACTGAGTTGCGTTGTTTGTATTTTCATTAGCTGTACATGAATGTGAAAAAATGCCAGCAAGTAGCAGCAAGTTTTGGTCACCTTCAGAGCTCCATTCATTCCTCAACGTCATCGTGAGGGTCCATAGGGGGAGCTAGACGAATTGGTAAGGAAAGCATTCTATCCTTTTCTGACTCAAGACCATGGTCTTGGATTTAGAAGAGCTGATGCTCATCCCAGGTGCTTCACACTCGGCTGCAAACCACTCCAGAGAGAGCCGTAGATCACGTTCTGATGAAGCAAACAGGACCACATCATCTGCAAACTGCAGAGACCTGATCCTCAGGCCACCAAAACTGATCCCACCAACACCTTGGCTGCACCTAGAAATCCTGTCCATAAAAGTTATGAACAGAATCTGTGACAAAGGGCAGCCTTGGTGGAGTCCAACTCTCACTGGGAACGAGCCTGACTTACTGCCGGCAATGGGGACCAAGCTCTGACACCGGTCATACAGGGACCTAACAGCCCATATCAAAGGGCCTGGTACCCAATACTCCCGGAGTACCCCCCCACAGGGCCCCACAAGGGACGTGGTCAAATGCCTTCTCCAAATACACAAAACACATTTAGATTGGTTGGGCGAACTCCCACACACCCTCCAGGAGCCCCCTAAGGGTATAGAGCTGGTCCAGTGTTCCACGGCCAGGACAAAAACCACATTGCTCCTCCTGAATCCGAGGTTCGACAATCCGACATACCCTCTTCTCCAGAAACCCTGAACAGACCTTACCAGGAAGGCTCAGGAGTGTGGTCCACCTGTAGTTGGAACACACCCTGTGGTTCCCCTTTTTAAATAGGGGTATGGATGTTCTGATATCGATATCGGTAGTAATTCGATTTTGGCCAAAAAACTGTGTATCGGACGGCATCAAAAATCTCCAATATAAGCGGTCCGTTAAGGTTCACAATTTTGCAACCGATAGTTAAGAAAAAATTGTTATTTATTTCATACTTACTGTTATTGGCTCTTGTTCTCCGATTGAGTAATACACTCGATCAAGCCTTTCATACATTCCACACTATGAAATAGGTAAAAGTAAGTATGATTTGTGTTGATTTCGTATCAGATTGATATCGGAATTTGTCAATACCAAAGGCTGCAATATCGGTATCGTATCGGAAATGAAAAGGTTGTATCGGGACATCCTTAAATAGGGGGACCACCATCCCAGTCTGCCAATCCAGTGGAGCTGCCCCCGATGTCCACGCGATACTGAAGAGCCTCGTCAGCCAACACAGCCCTACACCATCCAGAGCCTTAAGGAACTCTGGGCGGATCTCATCCAACCCTGGCCACCGAGGAGCTTTTGGACCACCTCAGTGACCTCAGCCCCAGAGATTGGAGAGTCAAACCCAAAGCTCCCAGGCTCTGCTTTCCTCAGTGGAAGACATGCTGTTGGGATTGAGGAGGTCTTCGAAGTATTCCACCCACCAATCCACATGTAGTACTGTTACACTTCTACTAATGTGTGAATGTTGAAGCTTGTGCCGCAACTGCCGGTGCAGACTTGTTATGGAAAATTATGTTTGTTAATTCTTGATCATGGACTCAATCAACTGAATGTAAATGTATTGCTTCTATGCCTCTTTGCATGACACACCCACACAAGACACACACACACTTTCTCTCTCTCTCTCTCTCTCTCTCTCTCCTCTCATCTCTCTCTCTCTCTCTCTCTCTCTCTCTCTCCTCTTCTCTCTCTCTCTCTCTCTCTCGCTCTCTCTCTCTCTCTCTCGTCTCTCTCTCTCTCTCTCTCTCTACTCTCTCTCTCTCTCTCTCTCTCTCTCTCTCTCTCTCTCTCTCTCTCTCTCTCTCTCTCTCTCTCTCTCTCTCTCTCTCTCTCTCTCTCTCTCTCTCTTCTCTCTCTCTCTCTCCTCTCTTCTCTCTCTCTCTCTCCTCTCTCTCATCTCTCTCTCTCTCTCTCTCTATCTCTCCTCTCTCTCTCTCTCTCTCTCTCTCTCTCCTCTCTCTCTCTCTCTCTCTCTCTCTCTCTCTCTCTCTCCTCTCTCTCTCTCTCTCTCTCTCTCTCTCTCTCTCTCCTCTCTCTCTCTCTCTCTCTCTGTATAAATAAACTCTGTGACCAGATGTTCGGGGCATTTTGCCCTCGTGCATTATGCCACAGTTATAACTGCTTGACTTGTCTGCTCATTGTCTCCTTCTCTCTTCACTATAGGAAATGGGTTATTGATAAACATATTGATAAAATCCATGACATTATTTGGGTCCTTCGAAAGCCGGGGTCCCATCACCTCGCGGTGCTAAAAACCGACGCCGCGAGGACTGTCGACAACCTAAATCTCCTCCAGCACTGAGTTTTGCTGGGGGGTCAGTGGGGTCTTGACGTCGCTATGAGGAATGCAGATCCACGAACTCAAGCCCTGAGTGGAGAGATTTGGTGAGACAAGTTTGTTGTTTGTTTGTGATACCGAGAGAAATCCTAGATGACCAGAGGTTAAATTGGTTTTTGAGCATTTTAGCTGGAAAATATAAATGCAGCTTAGATTCCTGGAATGCTGTTTTGGCATGGTTGAGAGAGAATGGACCGGTGTGATAACCGAGAGGTGGCCAAATGAGAGGTGGCCTGGCTTGTGAACGTTTAGCCTCTAATAGAAACGCAACTCCAGTTGTCATTGTTGGTTGTGATCGTCAGGTAGAAAGATAAACAGATTCCAGAGATGCTGTATTGGCTTTGTTTTTTGAGCGTTTTTGCCAGAAATATAAACGCAGCTCTGTATTGGTTATTATTAAATAGGTTTTTTGAGCATTTTTGCCAGAAATATAAACGCATCTCCGTATTGGATAAAGTCGAGATTCTAGTTATCTATTGTCTTAGATGTTGTCTGCTTTAATTGTTGTTTGGATAAATGAGAGAGTATGGATTTGCTTTGTAAGTGTGTTATCTATGTATGGGGGAATAAGAACTCACAAACACCTTTTGAATGAAGATGGTACACTGATGGAAATGTAAATCCAGCGAATGGGGAAATGATCTGAAAATAATCAGAGGATTGATGGAAAACATGTTTCTCTGGGATTTTGGTTGCCGCTGACGTGCTGTACTTGCAGGGTAACCTTAAAGTGAGATAGCACATGAGAGAAAAATGAGAAAATTACAAACGAACTATCAGGATTAGAGTTACGAGGATACACAGAGCGGTGGAGAGAAAGAAAAAGGGTGAAAATGTGAAACAGAGAGGAGGCAAGAATCAAAACAACCGCAGCTGTGCCCAGAGTCTGAGCCACCAAGGTCAATTGCTGTCTGAAGGTTATAACTAGAAAATAAAGATGAAAAATATAATTTGAACAGGTTCTCAAAATTGTAATTTACTTATTTGTTTTGCTATTAAGCACAGCTGTTGAGTACTTTATTACATTTGAGCCCCTCTGTGGACTTCAGTAAGTCCAGCCAACATATTTCATGTTCAGAATACATGCCGTCCACTGAGGTGAACATGTAGTAAATTATTTGCAAATTATTAAATGTTACAAACAATATTTGTTGAAATTTGTTTCATTCACACCCAAAGATGAAAGAAAATAATTGTTAAATAATCATGGTTGAAGATTTCATAATTCATGCATCGAAAGGTTAGGCATGACCCAAATATTTAATTCCTGGTATCTCTGGTGACTAACATAATTTGAACTATAAACTGTCACTTTTAGTGGCTGAAAGGAAAAGGGTTTTAGTGGAACCCCTCAATTTGAGACATTGACTGTTTATCAGTACTTGGTAGTAAATGAGTGCCCAAATAAAAGCTAAGAGTGTATATTTTAGTCAAAACAGTGATCTCAGACCAACAAGCCTAGTGACTACTGTCAATTTGCATTTAATATCTCCTTATTTTTGTTTTTTTAAATCTTTGTTTCTGACGCTTAAAACCAAGACAAGGGAGTTCAGCGGATGACAATCGCACCCGGGTGAACATAAATTGGTGGGCAGTACCTGTTGAATTCAAAAACTGCATTTTGAACACTCTAAAAATATTGTTTGTCATCAATTGAATCTTTCTGGCGTCTGTCAAATGAAGGAACTTGTTCAGATCTCCGATTAGCGGACATTGTGATTAGAACAAGGGGGGAAACTGGAAGTAAAATTGAAATGAGACAGCAGATTAAAGCTGTTGTAGGGAATTTGCATTTAATAAGTTTTAATTATTTTAATTCTTCATGTATTCTCAGCTTGGGAACTTTTAAATGTTTGACACATAATTTCGCGCTCCTCTGTGTCTGGGTTAAACAGCAAGGTCGTATCAGGAGGTAAACACGCATTCTAATAGACCTTGGGCACAAGTGAGAAAATATTCTATCAGCCATGTGATTCTTAAGCAGAAACCAGAAAAGCTTCTAATACAGTTCCTAAAGATAAAAATACCAAGAAGGAAGAGTAACTCTGAGTTGTTGATTTAACTTCGAAGTTGGTTATGGATAAGTTAATATATTTGATTTAAATATGGGTTTTGCACACTTTTAAATTTAGAATGAAGTAGCTGGACAGTTGATTAGAATTCATCTGTCCTCTTTGGGATGTAAACATCGGCCCATGTTTCCTAAATCGGTAGAGATTACGTAAATGTTGACACAGCTGCTTAGCCTTGCTCAGTTTGGAATTAGGCGTGATGATAAATGTTTTGTTTTTGAACTTAAACCAAACAAACTTTCATGAGTACTGATTGTGCCCTTTTAAATTATCATCTATGAATGACTTGGTTCGCTTCCTTGAGCAGATTCTTAAATACTACCATTAAATCAATATCTTTATTAAGAGTATGGAAGTTATGTAAATAACTTGTGTTAGCCAATCTATCTCGTTTCTAAATTTACTGTTTATGTAATTAATATTGTACTCCTCCTGTGTAGGTTAGTGAATATTTTCTGTTATTTTTGCTAAATCTTTATTTTGCCCCTTCTTTGTACCTAATCAGCTCCCACTTCATTATCACCTTCTTAATTCAAAAAAGAGAGAGCAGCTCTCGCCTTTGACATCGTCATTGTTTTGTTATTGCTAGAAAAGCATTATAAGATGACACTTGTCCTAAATGACCCTTAGATTTGATCAGTAGCATGATGACCTGACGATGTTCTTTGATGGTCATTCATTTGAGAATGACCTGATTACATATGCATCTAGTAGTTTTTACGTTTGTCAAGTCTTTTATTTTCCTTATTTTGTTATTTCTTGTTGTTTTGCGAGTATAAATGCTTTAGTTGTTCATAATCACACTTATACTCCTCTGCTTGACCCTTAAGCTACTTAGGGCTCCTCCTCAAGCACTTCCTTGTTTCCCGTAGTATAACCATTTTAGACAAGGTACACTTTTGTAAATTATGAATTATTTCTTTTGTTTAGAACGTCTTTTCCCTTCCTGAAACAATTATCATCTTTTCAAACACCTTTGGGGTTGTGTGGATCTCAGAACACCATCAGTTGTATAATTTTTGATTGTTCACTGTCTCTATGTGACAGATGAGTTTTATTTTCCTTAGAAAAATCTGTTGTTCAATTTCACTTACGGAGCTTTAGTTTAGCAGTATTTATCTCCTGTTGACAAATTATACACATTATTTGAGTTGCATTATTGAGTGACATTGTACATTGTTGATGTACTCTGAAGCAACCTTACCCTACTGAACCTATGTGGAGTTGAAATATTATTTTATAACTAGGACTGGTTTCATTGTTAGTTACTCCAGTGTTAGAAGCAAAGAGATTAAATTAAGAAGTCACTATAGGTGAAAGTTTCTGGCATAATGAGAGCAAACACATACAGTCTATATATATATATTTTTTAATGAGCTTGAGGATGCTGACAAGCTCACCCTTTTTCCCAGATGGGTTGATTCCCTTTGATTTCATTAGTTTATTATGTTTGCTATAGTTCTTTTACTACAATTTCTCCAGTTACTCCTGTGTAAATAACTTTTGTGTTTATTTTCTATTTTCTTTACACGGGTTATGGCTTTTTTGTTAGTTTGTTTTGGGTTGTATTGTTGTTTTATGCACACTGTGTTGCACGACTCTGCCCCTTGCTGACGTGAACTAGTAATTGCAAGTTCCTTGGGATGGGTGTTTTTCACATGTTAACATCGGGTTGCCGCAATGCTTGCCAGTATCGGACCCTTTTGTTTAAGTTTTGTTTCTGGTGAGCCCTGAGTTGCCTCATGCCTCAAAAGGAGGGAAGGCTGATAACGATTTCCTCACATTATTACACTGCCTGGATGGAATTACCTTAAATATTAGATGATAAGGATTGTTGCTGAAAACAATTCAAAATCAACAGTGATCTCCCAGAATTTTCTTGTGCTTTTTTGCCACAGGTCGTGAAACCAGGAAATTGGGTGCTGAATGAAGATGAATGTGCTGAAGCGAAACAGATGGGGCAGCCAGAGGTCCATTCGAAGTACTCCTCATCACTCCCACTGCTGTGAAGATTGCTGAGAGGCCATCTTGGATTCATCTATCCCACTGCAAGCTTAACAACCAACCGCTTTTGCGTGGCAACGAAGTCTGGCTACAAAGGGGTGGGCCACCACTAGGGTGCCATCTCTCAAACCCGTGAAGATAAGATCAAGATAAGATAAGATAAAGATCTGCTTCAAGCTTGGTGGGTTCACCACGTTGTTGATGTTGGTGGTCGCACTCATGGCCCTGCACTTGGGTTGCCTCTCAGCACCTGATGGAACAACTGAGACAGCAGTATCTGAGGGGGTACTAGAACTGGAACTGAAACAACGGATTGGGGCTCCTCCCTGACCGCGCACCTACATGACAACGTAACCTGCATCCACCTCGGCTGACGAACCCTGGACACATCTACAACAGGACACAGCGAAGAAGAGACACTGGGAAAGGATAACTACTTCAAGCACCTGCACTCAAATCTCCAGACTGGTTTCACGGTCAAGGACCTGTAGGACCTTTCGGGGACAAGATCAGCTCCCTGATAATTGGACAACCGCCTCGACACACCATGGAAGGACCCTGGTGTCTTCCTATTGAGAAGTTGAACTTTGCGCTTCATGTTCCGAACTACGTTATTACGCTCTGGACCTGGACTTCAAGGTACTCATCAACGTAAGACTGAAACCATTCTGATCAACGGAAGAGGACTCTGACTTTCAAACCTATTCTCCAACCGGGATTCTCAGTCCACGGACAAGCCCCTTGATGAAGAATGCCTGGTTTGCCTCAGCTCTGCCATGGTTAGAGCTGCGTAAATTAAAACTACACCTTCATTTTTCCTCCGTCACAGAAAGATGTGTCTGCAACTTGGAGCTTTAATCTAAATTCACCTGATGTTTCAATACACCGAACTGATGTTTGCTGTGCATTATATGGTTTTGCGAACCCTTCCCAATCTCCTTACAGGAACTGCCATAAATTGAAGAATTGTGCATCACATTAAATTCATCTCAATATGTATGAATTAGCTTTTCTTAAGGTTATAATTGTGTTGATTTAGCTGATTCCATTCTCAATCTCTGTGAACTGCTGTAAGATATTATTGTCAGTTGTGTTTGCCTTATCGTGTTTATTACCTTCTTTGTTCTTATTATTTTGCTGATTTTTGTATTACACTTTGTATGGAATGATTCTTTGGACGACGTTATCAGGATTGAGATTACGATCCACAATAGACAAATGATTGCAGCACCTCGTGCTGTGTTCTCACTTCATCGTGTTAATTCTGAACCTTTCATATCTGATCGTAGTGTTTATTTATTTTACTTATTAATTTTTTTTTTCTTGTTTTGATGCTTATCATTTTTGTCTTGAGTTACTTGATTTGTACCCTATTGGCCCTTATGACTACTGAGATGATCACCTTTCCTGGTTTACCCCCTTTCTACTCCTTGACTTGTGATTGATGTAGCTATCATAGTTAATGGTGACAAGTTATGAAAGTGGATAATATTCCTCATTATTTTACTTATTTTAATTTTCCTTATTTGGCTTTGTTTTGTTGCTTCTTTTTGTTTGGTTATCCTAATCGGATAAACAGGAGGGAATGTTATGGAAAATTTATGTTTATTAATTCTTGATCATTGACTCAATCAACTGAATGTAAATGTATTGCTCTATGCCTCTTTGCATGACACACCCACACAAGACACACACACACACACACACACACACACACACACACACACACACACACACACACACACACTCTCTCTCTCTCTCTCTCTCTCTCTCTTTTATCTCTTGGTATAAATAAACTCTGTGACCAGATGTTCGGGGCATTTTGCCTCATGCATAATGCCACAGTTATAACTGTTTGACTTGTCTGCTCATTGTCTCCTTCTTTCTTCACTACAGGAAATGGGTTATTGATAAACATATTGATAAAATCCACGACAACACTTGTATCAGTCAGGACTTAAAGACGAGACAAACTTACGTCTACAAACTCAGAGGTGAGTTTGAAGGCAGAAGTCTCAAAGCCGAGATTTCTAGGGGAGCTGGACAAAATGAAGCCAAAGTCGATGTGGATGATGTGTCCATCAGCATCCAGCAGGATATTCCCATTGTGTCTGCAAGGCCAAGAGACAGAAGTTACAGCTTTCTGCATCGAAGCGGGTCGGGACGAGCAAGCGGAACTCACCTGTCCTTGACCTGCAACAGGTAGCAGATGAGACTGTATCCTGCGCAGCTCTGGACAAAGTTCCTCTGAGCCGTCAGGAAGGCTTCTGTGGTTGGAGCGCCGTGTTCCTGTAGAAAGTAGTCCAGCAGGGACAGCTGACTCTGCTTCTTCACCTGGTGGAGGGACACGGCATTCACCACAGGCTCGATCATCCCGCTGTCTGAAGACAGAACCAGGATCTTATACGGTTTGATCCAGAGTGGGGCACGCTCCTGCTCCCAAATGGACTGGAGGACAGAGAAGAGACAAGAGTATAGACCAAAGGTCACAAACACAACAGGACCAGAGGGGGACACGTGCTTTCCGTGCTGGTGGTCGGCATCTGTAGATCCTGATGCCTCAAAGTCAGGGTCGGGATCAGAGTCGGGATCAGGACCAAAGTCTCTTTAGTCCAAACTAATGTCCACAGCTCTTTGAGAATTTTTAAATGTCCTTCATAAAAAGTCATTCTTACTTTTAACAGACAAGCAGAGAACAGGGGAGACGTGGTGGGACAGCTTTACCTTCAGCTGCTGCAGGACCTGGAAGGCCAGAAGCTCCTGTCTCAGGTCGTCTCCACACTTTACGATAACTGAGAGGAGTCTCCAGGTAGGGAAGTGTCCATAAGGAGAACCCTCCCTGATCCTCCTATCCAGATAGAAGGACAGAACATCAGCAGACAGAAAAAGAATGTCATCAGAGACACAGAGGACATTTGTTCCCTGAGCTGGTCTTTCAGGCACGTTTTTCCCCCCTTTCTGCCTCGTAGTCTGAACTTGGGGAATAAATGACCCATGTGTGAAGCTTTCTTAATGGGATTGGCTCAAACAGGTCAGACATGCTGCAGAGGGCTGCATTCCATTTCTAACTCAGCACTGGTGATTGTTCTGCAAAAATGCCTACGGATGGAAATTCTGAATGGAACACAGCCCTCGTTCACACACCTGAGGCTCCACCCACCGGACTTTCTCTTCCCAGGGCTCCTTGAGGGCCACAGCTGAAGGGTCTTCAGGGTCTCGTCTGAAGGTGGTGGGGGCCTGAGCCAACTGCTCGGACAAACGGCGCCTGAGACAAAATACACCAGGACAAAAGACAATGCTGAACCAGGAAGTGGATCCTATCTGGGCTGGGGTTCGTTTCTGAATTGACCCCAACACTTAGCAGTCACTTTGATAGTCAGACCTTATGTCTCCAGCGGCGATGAAGACGGGCTCCTTGCTGTCCAGGCTGGTGATGCTGTCCACAGAGAACTGACTGATGTTGTCACAGCTGTTGGTGTGTACCTCTGAGAGCTGCAGAGAAATGATGGCATCATTCACACCTGAACCAGAACTAAAGCTGGTAGTGCTATGTTCTCTTCTGCTGTGGTGTTCCACAGGGTCTAATACTGAGCACCTGGTGGTTTTCATAAAGCCACACAAAGAGACATGTCAAAATGAGTCTCACTACTTTCTGTTTCTGATTTGGGTCAGGGTACGTCCAGAACCAGCTTTGTTGGGTTTCATGTGGACTTTTGGAGCTGATTACCTTCTCTTTCTTAGGAATTAATATTTTTTATAATTTAAATAACATAATCACGCTATTCTGATGACATCACAGCCTTTGTGGGCAGAGCCTCACCTCCACCTGTAACTCTCCAATGTCATCCACAGACCAGGCCTCGTCATCGTTGTCGTAGTTTGGGACAATCGAGAAGCTTCCCGCTCGCTGCTCTACCGTGATGCCACAATCTGGAAGATTCTCCACAGAGCGCGTGCTCCTGATCCGGTTCTCTGGGATCCTGATGGGAACGTTAGACGTCTCAAAGTTGTCACATTCCAGAACCTCCACATAGATCAGGTAGGGAGCCTGAGGAGTGGACAGATGATGGTTAATAAGAACAAGTGCACCGCCTTCAGCTCTAAGCCAGCAAAATTTCAATGTCCAGAACAGCTGGAGAAGGTTTGGATCTGGGTTCAGTCAGATGAGCTCAACCCAGAAGGCAGAAATCCACCTCTCACACTCAAGAGTCCCACCATGGTCCTGTTTGGGTCAGTCCACACACGTCCAATTACCCAGTGGAGCAGGCAGGCCCAGAGCTCGTTTTCAGTCTCAAACAGAGCATCAGTGAACTGGGATGATCTGGACAAAATATCTCACCTTGTCTTTGGAGTTGAGGACGACAGCCTGTGTGTGTGGCACACGGACCACGTGATGCTCAAAGGCAGCGGTGGGCAGCCAGACTCGTGCCGGCAGCTTGTGGTTGAGCAGCGACAACTCTGAGATCAGCCGATGGGTCTTCTGCTCTTTGGTTGGCAGTGTGGCCAGACGCTTCCCGATCCCCATCAGGGATTTGATGAACTCCCTCTGAGGCGCCAGACGCATGGGCTGCACACACGAGCATACGTGCACACACACACACACACACACACACACACACACACACACACACACACACACACACACACACACACACACACACACACACACAAGAGGTAATGAAGGGGGCAGCGCCTCATATCAGGAACCGACAGAACCGGATCTCGGTTGTTTGTGTGTCGGGTCTAAAATCGTTGTCCTGATAAGTTTGAGTAATTTTGTTTTTCCATCTAGTTCAAACAAAGCCCTCTGGTTCTGATCCAGTAGCTAAGATCTGAAGCAGGCAGGCTCGGCTGTTCAAATTAAAAACCGACACACAAACGCAGAGGAGACAGACAGGCTGCTGAACACAGGTTAGCTCAGAACCGCCAACAGATCCATAGTGGGTCCACAGACAAGCTGCTTTTCCTCACCAAAATCAGAATTAGAACCAGAGCCCAGAGCCTCCTTTATTTCCCACAATGCACCCTGGAGGTAGTAACATTTAGGGTCTGAACTTACGGGACAGGAATCAAACTCCAGGCTGTCGGAGCTGGAGCTGCTGTCCTGAGGGTCAGAGGGAGAGGACCGGTGTGTTTAGATTTAGACTGGAGCATCAGAACCTGCAGGGTTCTACAAACCAAAGCCTTTGTGATGCGTTTAAATTAAGCTTAGAAACATGAGCGTTAACTGTTTCTTCACTCATGCAGACGTCAGAGACGATAAACTCAAAACGTTGGAAAACATCACGTCTCACTTTGGGACAAAACGACCTTCCAGCGTTTGCACGGTTCCTCCTGAAGAGGAAACAGCTGATTGGAACAAGCCTGGTGGGAATTTCACTCACATGAAGCTTTCAGTTTATCAACTCTCAGAATAGAAACTAGGATTCAGATCCTCTCTTCTGATTTTGCATCCTGATAGACAAAATTGCATTTTTTTAACTTTTGGGTCACCCAGGTAAGATGATGTCACGTCACCTGAACCTGACTCAGAGCACTCAGTGGGATGTCTACTGGATGTCCATCCTGCTGACGGAGCTCTCACCTCATCCTGGCTACTCTCCACCTTTGGGTTGCTGGCGGTCCTCTTCAGGTTGCTGCTCAGGCTGATGCTGACCGTGGCGTCGGACTTTGAGCGCTGATGTGTGCGTTTGGATGGGGACAGGCTGTGTTCTGCTCCCAGAGGCCCAGGTGATGCCGCAGGGCAGAATGGTGTCAGAGCAAGGGGCTCCCTGCGGGTTCGAGACCCTGCAGGTTTGAGTTCATCTGAGAGGATGAGCTTCCTGAGTTTGGTTCCTCTAGAATGTCTCTGAGTGGAAATGTGCATGTCGGAGGAGTATGCTCCCAGCAGCCAGGCGCACTGCAGGCTGAAGGAGATGCTCTGCCTGCAGCGGTGCACCTGCAGGAACAAACACAGGGCCAAAAAACCCACACAAACATATTACCATACGTACACATAAATGGAAAGTTACCATGGCAACAAAGAACACTTCTGACTCAGGCTGACCGTGGTCTCATCAGTGCTGGTTTCAGCAAAAACGGTTTACGGAGATTAAAACCTTGTTTTAATTTTCAAAAGGTAAAAATTACAAATTTAAAGAGAAAAAAAATCATTCTTCAATCAAACAGAGATCTACCATTTCTGGCATGTAAATCAGTTAAATGCAGAACCACCGCTGGACCGACCCAGGAACTGGATTCTAGTCTAGGATGAGCCTAAAAGGTGGAGGAAGTGAGAGCAGTCCTCCTGCTGACTCTGAATGTTTATTCCGCTTTGCCCACAGAACTGTTAAGCTGTGGCTGTTGCCATGGTTACCACATACAAAAGCTGTTCTAAAATGAAACAAGATTTTTTTAAATCCATCAATCCAGAGATTTCATCTTATAATCATCTTTGATTAGCAGCTGGTCTCAGATGTGGATGAATAAGCAACAGGTTTGATGACAGAGTGAAGCTGAGGCCACACCCACCACGTAAGGCTTGATTGCATCTCCGACGTCCTCGTCCATGTGGATGTACATGTTGAGCAGCTGCGGCAAGTAGAAGTCCACCTCCTCGTGCGAAAAACTGAACAGGCGGTTTCCGATGTATGCCTGCACACCAGGTTCCTTGGAGTTGTGCAGGTAGGAGATCGCCATAGAAACATCAAACAGCTTAGACTCAAACAGGCGCAGCAGCCAGGACTGCTTCGAAGGGTTGTGTCTTTGTCGCCGTCGGGCGCTCTTTGCCGAGCTGGCGGCAGGGCCTCCCTGCTCCTCCTCCTCCCCACGGATCAGTACTGATTTGACTGTATGAGCTGGAGGGCTATGGGACCCACTGTCTGGCCCCTCCCCATTCTGCAGGTGTGCAGCGTCAGTCTCTACGTGCTCCAGCTTCACCTTCTGCAGGACCTCCTGACACGCCTTCTGGGCCACCTCTGCATCAATCATCAGGCTCAGCTCACCAACACCCTCGCTGATGATGCCCAGCAAAGGTGGCGGGGGCTGTGGGGGGCTGCAGGAGGATGATGGGGTGGAGGGGAGGGACACAGAGGGGGAAGAGCTGATGGAGGGGGAGGTGGTAGGGCTATTGTGGTCAGAAGCAGCAGGAGATATGTCCACCTGTCGCACCTCCATCATGGCTGCTTAGAAGCACTGCCCGCCTCCACTGAAACAGAGAAAAGTCAAAGGAACAACTGTCTTGACAGGAGAAATGTGTGACATCATCATGTGGAGTGGCTTAGACCCACTGAGCAGACGAAAAGATTCCAGGATTCTCGCCATCAGGTCAAATAGTTCAATTAAATTTATTCGTAGTGCCAAATCACAGGAAGAGTCGTGGCAAAGCATTTTACAAAGTAAACATTCCAATTGAAAACATCCTACTTATCAGCTGATTGAGTTCAGTTCATTATTTCAATTAGTTTAAAGTTTTCTACTGAGGGGAACCCTGAATAAAGCATCAACAGAACTCTGGTGGTTCTGTTGGACCCAAAGAGAACTCTGATGATGTCCACTGTTGAATATGTTCAGTGCCCATTCCAGCTGCACCATGCTTGGTCAAAATACTTCACCCAGAACCTTAAAAATCAGCCCAGGTCAGCCACTAAAGGACGATCCAGTCCAGTGACCAGGGTTAAGAGGTGTGGGTTTTGACCTTTTGACCTGGACCGGATCTAAACGGGTCTACATGTCAAGACAGCGAGACGGGTTCGGTGATTGTGATTTAAAGTTCTGTGTCACTAAGCTGTTTTCTAACCTATTAGCGTCTCCCTGGAACCTTCAAAAGTTCATCAGTAGCGACAACAGCCCCAGATGTTCTGGCTCAGACCCAGAACTCTACTATACACAGAAACGTATCTGAATAGGGACCGGAGCAGCTGGATAACCGGACGAACGGTGGACGTTTTCCCGAGACCTCACTGAGATGTTGGGCGACTTATGGCTCAGCTAACACCAGTCCCTTTAAACTGCACGCAGCGGTTCGCTCCAAGCTAACTAGCTGCATGCTACAAACAGCAGCTACATTATTACCAGCGTTAGCCAACTGTTGCTACGTCTACTAAACCTGTCTGCTGCATAGACGTCATCATCGGTGTCACAAGGTCATTTTCCACGTGACGGGGCGCGCCAGCACCTTCCTACAATTTCTTACCTTTAAACAGGTTAATCGCTCTTAAATAACATTTCACGTGAAGTTTGTAGACTTCAATTATTTTGTTATAGCTCAATTACATGTACCGGCCACTAGGGGGCGCTATCAGTTTCCGGTATGGTGGTTTGGATTTTCCGGTTCAACCGGGTTCAACAGATGGATGAAATCGAAAATCACAGACAAAAGTGACATGCTGAGTTATTTACAAATACAAACATAACACATTTGCCAAACAATTACAGAGTGAAGTAGAAGAATGAAAAGAAGAAAAATAAGAAGATAGAAAGATAAGAAAATGTGCTAGATTGGGGATTGTATTAGGGGTTCAAATGAACACCTTAAAAAAATTACATATATTAATAGTTTTATACGCCTTGTAGCTTTAGGGATTGACAACAAATGTACATAATATACAAATGTTCAATAAGATATTGATATTCCATTTAAATATGAAATATCAATTTGATTGGTCTTTGAATGTTTAATCAGAAAACTTTTGTTTCTTTGACTGATTCAGGGAACATGCACACTTCATATTAATACAGAGTCAAAAACATAGTTATGAAAATTACTTCATTTTCCTAAACTAAATGATTGTACATGGCAAAGTATGAATGAAATCATGGTTATACAGATAACAGACGATGAATGAAATTATGAAATTTAAGCTAGATGTTTTAGCAAAACCTTTCTTAAGTATCTGAGAGAGATTGTGGCGTCTGGGTGGTAAAATCAGTTGGGCTGTATGGTTCGATAAGCTAGAGATTTGTTTATAAAACCATCCAACGCTACTTGTGCTGACCTACGTGCCCTTGTGTGAAGATCTCCAAGTGATCCAGGGGGCCAGGAGGTCGAGATGGACGCTGCCGATGGCGTGAACCTCTGGTCCCGTCTGGTCTGGGTCATCTTCAGGTGACGGCAGGAAGCTGGAATGTCAGATCTTCCCGGCAGGTGTGTCACTTGGTGACAATAGTTTAACTAGCATCAACTCTCTGTTGACTCTTAAAAACATACACACACCATATGGGACAGCTCCAAAAACTTTAGCATAATCTCCGGGAGTTACAGGGATATTATATTTTGTAAGAAACTCCTTGTAAATAGAAGTCCCTCTGAATAAAAAAAAAATGTATCTACCTATTTAATGTTGTTTTGAATGTGCCAAACATATCTGTCCATGTCTTTGTCTAGTTCATATGTTCACTAAACAAGTGGGTTGGCATTTGTGTTAATCTTTTAAAATGACACCAGTGCTTCTGTGGTCACAAATAGATTTTCACTTCTACTTGGATAGAAATGAGTGCCATAACAGGTTATGACATTTAACATGATTTGTTTTATTAAATTGTTCTGTATTGCTGTAATGTTATGATCTTCTAATGCATCGTCACTCTTGTTTAGAACTTATTTTCAAGCTAACAAAACAGCTATACAACAGTGATGAGATAGCGTGAAGATAGGTTTTAACGGCATTGTCAGACGACATCAGGTAGCCACACAACCGGCCAATAGACTATAATGTCAGAACAAAGACAACATCACGTGTCGACCGGTTGTATGAGAGATGAAGAACAGCTGGACAACAAGTTTTAAGGACATTGTGACAACTACATATTTTTGGCACATTCAGAACATCGTAGGAGTTTACATGTTTGTGGTTAATAAACACTTAAGGAAGTATTTACTGTGTCCATTTTCAACGATTCCTTGTAATTGACATGGAGAAGAGCAGAGGGAAAATCCTTCCTTCAGGAGGAAAGAACCACCATAAAACTTGTCATATGGTAAGTAGCAGACAGCTATGCCAGGGCAGGGGAGATTCTGTGGCGATGTCATAAATGCAATGTGCCAACGTCTGATTTGTAGTTGTGCTAAAAACAAATTTTTATAAGCTGATAAATCTCAAAGTATGTGATAGGCGTGGTTGAAACACACATAAGTTCCTTTCATTTAAATTGTAGTACAACATATGTGCAATTCAGGGTGTAAGGCAAAGTGGATTAGAAAATAACTTTTAGCCCCATTGACTTGCATCCAACCCCTTTTCACAATGAAAAGTTCCTCCTCACTATCGCTTAGCACAGGAGCCCCACAAGGCTGGGTGCTGAGTCCCTTCTTGTACTCCCGCTACACACAAGTGCGCCTACCCACAACATCAACACTATCATTAGGTTTGCTGATGATACAACTGGGGTGGGCCTAATCAGCCAGGGAAATAAGTCAGCGTACAGGGAAGAGGTGCAGCAGCTGGTGGACTGGTGTACATCTAACAACCTGACCATGAACACCAACAAAACCAAAGAAATCATTGACCCAAGAAGGAAAAAGGTGGAGCACCAGTCACTCACAATAAATGGGGAGTAGGTGAAGAGGGTGTCAAAGTTCAAGTTCCTGGACACAAACATATAAGGGCTCTCAGGAAGATCAACCTGCCACAGAAACTGCTGGTGTGGTTTTATCACTGCTCCATAGAGAGAGTTTTGACCAACAGCATCCTGGTGTGGTACAGCAGCAGCTCTGCAGTTGACAGGAAGACCCTGCAGAGAGTAATCAAAACTGCAGAGAAAATAGCAAACACACACACCTGCCTTCCTTCCCTGGATGGCATCTTCACCACTTCCTGCCTTCAAAAACCCACAAACATCCTTGAGGGCTCAACCCACCCTGCCAACCATCTCCTCAAACCTCTTCCATCTGGAAAACGAAACAGCACATTAAAAACATGCACCAGCAGGCTGTTGTCAGCTTTTGTGCAAGAGCCATCACTGAACTGAATGTTGCTGCTAGGAGGTCACACCAACAGTGAATCTGCTGGACATCAAGTGCTCTACAGCACCTTTACATTAAGCTAGTTAACCCTGATATCTCAACATGTGACTACATTTATATTATGTTTATGTTTACTTTATATTTCAGTTTGTAGTTTAGACTTGTGTTATTACAGTGTTTACATTTATCCTTTAGCATTTTTAACCTTAAACTGGTTGTGTGTGCAAATGGTCTGTGGGTGCATGTGTGTGTGACTTCTATTTTAGCCTTGTTATTTTATTATACTTATATTTTACTATCTTCTTACGTGAGCTATCTAATTTTGTTGTACATCTGTGCAATGACAATAAAATGATCTTGAGTCTTGAAAGCTGATAATTGCAACCTTTATACACACATACAGAGATATGCCTCATACACAGAGTTTTGATTGTACTATTGGGTGTGTTTTCTGGATTTTAGAATTTTAATTTTTACAAAAATATTTTTGGTAACCACACAACCTCAGTAAGCACAAAATAGTGGGGACCCCCTTGGGGGTCACGGACCCCAGGTAGTGATCCACAAGGGTCATTTTAGCACATCCTGGCTGAAGAAAATGGGTTAAAAATATGAAAATGTTGCATTGTATCCCTTGAAAAGAAAACTGTTTAAAACGTTTTTAACAAACCTTTATTTGCAGTCAGAACATTACAGTAATTTCAAATGATGTCAAAAAGAACTTTTAACAACACACAGTATCAAGGGTTCATAACACAACCAGTCAGCTGACATAAGATTTATATCAAACAAAGAAAGGAGCATATAGATACCGTTTTGACTGATTTTGCATTGTGGGAATGTTGAATGGATTATATATATTTTTTGTTTGTTTTTAAATTAAATCTGTAGATACAGTATTTGTGTCCTCCAAACAGCAGGTGGCGACATTCACGTGCAGGGAGGGACGGGGAGGCGGAAAGAGCCAGGAGGAAAAGTCCGGTCCGGTCCACTGTGGTCCGCCAGCTGGTTTCTGTTTGTTTCTGTCACCTGAGCCGACCCTTTTGTCGTGGATCCAATCTTAGGTTCGGTCTCGTTCTGGTGGAGAAGGTGCGAGCCGGAAACGCAGACCAAACGTGAGTACGAGCTGCGTCCTGGAAATTCCTGGGAAGCGGAACCAGTTCATTTGGAAATGTTTATAAATAAATAAAATAAGCAACTATAAACCGGAGTTACAGCTTAAAGTGGGTAGGTTATACTTCACAGGCTTCTAGCTTTTTTTATGACCATGTTTAATAGTCATAATACTTTATAATTGTGTTTAATAGTATTAATTTTTAAGAGTCATTATACTTTATATAATGTTTAACAGTCATAATACTTTATACTAGTGTTTGATAGTCATTATACTTTATAATAACGTCTAAAGTATTAATGTTTAAGAGTCATAATACTTTATAATAGTGTTTAATAGTCAGAATACTTTATAATAATGTCTAACAGTATTAATGTTTAACAGTCATAATACTTTATAATAATGTCTAACAGTATTAATGTTTAATAGTCATAATACTTTATAATAATGTTTAACAGTATTAATGTTTAAGAATCATAATACTTTATATAATGTTTAATAGTCATAATACTTTATAATAGTGTTTAATAGTCATAATACTTTATAATAATATTTAATAGTCTTAATACTTTATAATAATGTTTAATAGTCTTAATACTTTATAACGTTTAATAGTCATAATACATCAATTCAATTCAATTTTCTTTATATAGCACCAAATCATGACAAGAGTCGTCTCAAGGCACTTCACATAGTAAACATTCCAATACAGCTCAGTTCATTAAGCCAATCAGTAAAAAGTTTCCTATATAAGTGTCACGTTGAGTGTAGGAGGTTTGGACCCAAAATGCACTGTCAGGGGATAACACCAGATCTAAATCCTGTAAAACAAAAGCTACTAAAAATAAACCTAAACACTGTAAAACAAGGACACAGGAGAACTAAAGATAAGTAAACTAATGACCTAAATGCAAAAGGAAACACAACACACTAAAGGAGATATGAACTACAGCGACAGTGGAGAGGAAAACTCCCTTTTGACAGAAAAAACCTCCAGAGGATCCTGGCTCAGCATAAGCAGCCATCCACCACGACTCACTGGGGATCGAGAAGACAGAGCAGACACACGCATACACCAACACCAGCCCCAAGGACCCCCCAAGGACACAACAGCAGGATACCCCTGGCGGGAGCTGGAGTCGAACCCATGACCCTCCGATCATGAGGCAACCCGCTCTACCACCTGAGCTACTGCTGCCCCAACAAGTTTAAGTGGTTAGCAAAAGTGTTCAAGATGATGGCCCCCTCCATGAGGCCACTACAGCTCAGCTGAACATCATTGTAGCTTCTTCTGGAGAGAAAAACACTTAGAGAAAAAATAAAGTTAACAGCTGAGGTAGCAGAAAATAATACAGTTAGTAATAGAGTGTGGAAAGTGGTCAGTGTATCCTCCAGCAGTCTAAGCCTATAGCAGCATAACTACAGAGATAACTCTTGATAACCTAGCCTTTTTAGATGGAGGCATGAGGGAGAGCCGTCTTTACCGACTGTACACTCCACCTCCCTCTAATCCCCCACTTGTCCAGATCTAGGCTAACATCAGATTTTAACCAAAGGCCCTATCAAATAAAAATGTTTTAAGCCTAGTTTAATAATAATGTTCTAATAATAATGTTTAATAGTCATAATACTTAATAATAATGTCTAATACTCATAATACTTTATTATAGTGTTTAATAGTCATACTTTTTTATAATGTTTTAAGTCATAATACTTTATTAAAATGTTTTATAGCTCTAACTTTATAATATTTTATATTCATACATGTTTTAGAGTCATAATACTTTATAGAACAGAATAGACTTTAATAATACCACAGTGTTTTTATATTCATAACACTTGCTTTAATTTTTTAAGCCTATTACTGTGAATATTAATAGAAAACAAATTATGTCCTTAAACAATCAAACAAACGGGATAAAATAGTTATCAATAAGACCTGGATTAGAGCCGTAAACACTGTTAGAATTTGCATACTGTAATCAGTGGGTTGCTGGTTCCAATCCTGGCTTCCTCCGTGTCAGTCTTGGTGTCCTTGGACAAGACACATACGCCCCACGTGACACCCCCCCCCCCCCATGGTGGTCAGAAGGACCGGGGGCCCATGTCCCAGGGTAGCTCATCACCACCAGTGGGTGACTAGAGCAACACATCCAGGTCATTTATCAAGAACCGGATCATAACGTTAAACATTAGAAGAATCAATCATGGACCATAATATCTCTGCAGACAACATGACTGTTGTCAGAAAGCGGCTCATCTCTAGTTGAATGTTCTGTTTGGTACCAGAATCCAGGTTTGTTGATGAGTTTGTTCTACTTGAAAAGGTGCTCTCTTCTCTGCGTTTCCACCGAATCCGGTTCTGCAAGTTCTGTCCAGTTGGACTAGTTTTTGTTTGAGTGTGAGGGTGTGCAGCAGGATCTCCTGCAGCGTTGCCTCACCTGACCCACTTATGCTGACATCATCAGACCTCTTTAGCCCACATCAGTGTATTCATCATCCCCACAGATCTACCTCCTTGTGGGACATCAGAACCCAAACGAGTCTGTTCCTCTAGTGAGTGAACAAACCAACGGAACGAAAGTTTCAGCTTCTACTTTCAAATTAACTATGCTTGTGCTCAGATCCATTTGTTTCCCAGAGTTTTTTGCTTCTGTTCTGACATTCTATTATAATGTGGTTCTGTTACAGAGCGGGTTCAGCGGCTCACCTGCAGCCCGTCTTATAGGTGATGGATGCAGAGAGTGGCGACTCGATTCCAGGAGACAAGGCGTCGGGCAGTTGGCTGTTCCACACTCCGTTCCCCTGCTCCAAAGACTCTTACACTGGACCAGAGGAACCCCTGCAGGACCGGGTGGTAGACCCTGAACCGGTGAGTTAGCTGGAGTTTAGAGGTGGTTGTTGTCATGGCAACAGAACCAGCTCCTGAGTTTCTACCGTTTCTCTACTTTTCTTTTATACCTGAACCTGAACTTTCGAGCCCTGTGTAGGAATCTTTTAGATCCCAATCCTGCCTCTCCATACACAGTCCAACGCATAGGACACTCTCACCTCACCTGTTTTTGTCAGCTATCACACAAGCTAATACAGTGTAATAACATAACCAGCTAGCTTACGTCACAAGGCTGCTGAACGTGGTTTCTTACCTTGCTAATGACTTTAGCAGCTCAAGCTGTTGGGTAGGGGCTGAGTCTCCCTCTCTGTTTCCATAGGACTATCCCATTAATCTGACAGTTGTTTCCATAAATCTAATTTCCCCCAGCCTTCGTGCTGATGGGTATCTCAGGTGAACCCTCCATTTTCTAGCAGGATTATTCAAGTCCCACTGTTTATTCCCACTCCTGCAGGGTTTACATTGGGACCTGCAGGACCTCAATCCCATTACATTGCATACATACTTTCCTAGAACCAGAACCACCTTTGGTTCGCTAGAACTGTTCCTTCAGAACGATCAGATCTAGTCAGCGTCTTACAGAATCAGGTTAAAATCTGACCTAGCGCTGATGTCCTTCCTGGTCCAGTCCACATTAAGCGACAGCGAATCAGAAGATGTCCTCCATGGTGTCGATCCAAACGAGGTGTTCTCCAGTGCCTCACCTGTGGACCTGTCATCAGAGAGCAATGTCTCCATGGAGGACATCCTTAAAAGTCCCATCCCGGTGGTGATGGCTGTTACCACGGCAACCAGCCAGCAAGCCCCTGCAACTGTCTTCCAGGTGGTTTATGACATCAGCAGTGTGGGTGGAACCACGTTTGGACCAAATCAAGAGAACATAATCTCCATTGAACTGGGTGAGTCTGCTTCAGGTGTCGGAGGAGTCGGTTGTTAGCTGAGCTCCCATCGTGTCAATCCTACATTCCTTTCTCCTGATGTCATTTCCTGTTTGGTAGCAGATGAATGGAGGTCTCGGCTGTTGTTTTCTGATTCGTGCATCGTTAATGAGGTGCCAGCAACATCATCATCCTGTCAGGGCAGCAGCAGAAGCCCCACCCCCCTTTTTGACAGAGACCAGGTGAGACTTCCTGTCAGTTAGTGTGCTCGGAGGTCAGGTCGGACTTGGAGGACTCACTGGTTCAGTCTTCTGGTTCAGGAGCAGTTGTACTCAGAGCTGCAGCTGACAGAGGAGGAGCAGAAGCTTCTGACGGAGGAGGGAGTCCATCTGCCCAGCAACCTGCCTCTAACCAAGGTCAGAGGTCAGAGAGTTGACATCCTAAACACAAACATCCTTGATTCTCCTACTTTTCATGACAGGCTGAAGAGCGAATCTTGAAAAAGGTCCGTAGGAAGATCCGGAACAAGCAGTCGGCTCAGGACAGCCGGAGGAGGAAGAAGGAGTACATCGACGGGCTAGAGAGCAGGTACACCCAACAGGGCGGAGCCGAATCACAGGTGTGTGATGGCTGCAGTTTGAGTCGGAGCCAGATGGTTGTTAGAAATTCTTCTAGCTGAGGAGGAAACCAGTCAGGTCCTTTCTAATCAGAACACCTGGTGAGGTTCTGATCTGATCCGGTCCAGCAGCTGACTACAGCAGCCTCTCTGAGCTCAGTGATCTCCATCTCCATGGTGACGATCTCTGGATCTGTGTCCGGTCGTCTACAGTTCTGGTTCCGGATGAGAGCTGTGGATCAATGACAGATTGATCTGGTCGGAAGACTTAGCCTGACCAACCAGCCCCATGCTTCCTTATGAGAAGCATTGGGTCTGGGAACTCTCCTATTCAAATAACCCCACCCCCTGAGAATTCTAACCAAGCCAATCAGCGCTAAGCAGCGTACATCACACACCGCAACGCTGAGTTTCTCATTAACAAGAAAACGAAGTGGAGTTCACTGCGGCTCTTTCCTCTGTTCTAAATGACCTGAACATGTCTTTAAAACCACAACAAGAAGAAGCGCTAAAAGTCTTTCTTCTAAACAAAGATGTTTGCGACGTTGCCAGATGCCATTTTTGACTACAACAAAAAACTACAGCATCGGGAGGTTCAGTCGGCATTTCCGTCTTATTTCTAAATGGTTATTTTTGAGCTGGCCCCTCACGTGCCTCTCTGCCTGTGAGTAACCAGACTAGTTCTCTGTGTAGAGTTTATCAGAGGATGAGTCTGGCAGGCCAGGCTACTGAGGACTAGCTCAGGTTGATCGTCTAATCATGTGTTTGTTCCTGCAGGGCGGCGGCGTGTTCTGCTCAGAACCAACAGCTGCAGCGGACTGTAGAACACCTGGAGAAACGCAACAGGTAGAGCCCGGTACCGCATCCAGCCAGAGTTGCTTTCTGTTCGTCTGACGTTTTAACCCCGACCTCCCATGACCTCTCTGGACTCCTGCACACCCATCAAGTATCCTGTTCTGACTGGGAAACTGTCCCGTCCCCCCCCCCCCCCCCCCCCCCCCCCTGTATTTTCAAACACCAAACTTGACAGGTACGTGTCCATGTTTGTGTCCAGGTCTCTGCTGGTCCAGCTGCAGCAGCTTCAGGCTCTCATCAGGCAGACGGTCAGTAAAGGAGTCCAGACCAGCACCTGCCTCCTGGTACGAAACCCAAAAGATCCATGTCTAGTCAGTCAATATCATGCTTCCTGTTTCCTGCTTCCTATTTCCTATTAACGTCCCTCTCAGACCTGGTTCTGGTCCAGATCCTCATCCAGAACTTACAGATGTTCTGATGATGACACCAGGTGATGAGGAGTTTTACCCGTTTTTTCTTGTTTACACATCTGAAGGTCCAACAGAACCAGTTCATGTTTGGGTACGGGTCAGGCCAGCAGCATGCCAATCCAGAACCTGTTCCACAGATCCTTCTGGACCAGATGTGGTCCAAAATGTAGCAGACTTCTAATCCAACCCTGTAATCAGGCTTGTGGATCTGGTTCTGACACCATTATTTGTGTTCTTTGGTCCTGGTTACCAGTGTGACCTGGTTCTTTTGGACCCATCTGATTCTGTGTACTATTTTATGTTTTGGTGAACTGGTTCTGATCTGACCTGTTTGGACCCTCAGATCGTGCTGGTCTCACTCGGTCTCATCATCCTGCCCAGTTTCAGCCCGTTCAGCCGTCAATCATCTGATGATGACTACAGACCAATTGGAGGTTAGTTCCCTGCTGACATCACTTCCTGTTGTGACAGAAATGTGCTATATAAATAAAGCTGCCTTGCCTTGACGTCCCATTTCATTTATAAAGAAGTGTCTTGCCCAAGGACACAATGACTGAACCAGACAGAGCCTTTGTTTAAACTGGCAACTCTCCAAGTTTACCTGGCAGCACCAACCTTTGACCTCCTCGCTGTCACGATACGAGGATGGTTAGGACCCAAAATGCAGGAAACCAGGACGACACGAGGCAGGGATGAAGATTAAGAAAAATCCTTTATTTTAGGATGAACCAAACAACAAAAATAAATCCAAAAAAAGGCTGGAAGCCAAAAGTCCAAAAATCCAGATAATGATCTGGAGATCCAAAAACACTAGAGACACGAGAAGACTCAAATCCAAACACTAGAGACACGAGAAGACTTGACAGAATACATCACAATGGACCGACACAACACAGAGACAAGACAGGGCTTAAATAGACTGGGAGGAGCAATTAGGGAAACAGGCAGCAGGTGTGTGGAGTGAGGGCAGGAGGGAAGCAGGTGAATACAATTAACTAAATGGGGAACAGAACCAGAGGAGGGCAGATAAACCTAAAACTATAAAACACAAAACTAAACCTAAAGACTGAGGGAAGGACTCACCCACACACACACAACACTACACCGGGCTGGGGAAGGACACACACGCACACACACCCACACACACACACACACACTGAAATAAAAGACCTATATAAACTGAGGTGGGAAGACTAAGAGACATGAAGAAAGCCAGGAGGGAGCTGGGGACAAAAAGGCTGGAGCTACAAAGAACGTGAAGGAACACCTGGAGGGGCAGGGGATGACCGAATGAACACAGGACCTGGGAGGAATGATTTAAAGGGCTACAAACAGAAGACACATAAATGAGATGCAGACAAAGGACATAAGTGGGCTCTTATGAGACACAAAATGGGAACTAGAGAGGGATGGAGAACACGAGGAGACACATGAGGGAAGACGCAGACCATGACACTCACCTGTATGTGTGACTGATGTCACATCCCAGCTTCACGTTTGTTTCTGTTGCAGGACAACCCAGACGAATTCTGATTCTGACCTAAACACGGTTCTGTTGGGTCAAAAGGTTCTGGCCTGCAACTAAGGCACTAATTCTTTTTCATCTCATCAGTAATTTCTAGAAACATCCTGACCGACACATCGTTCTCCAACCTGACAGCAGATGTCGGCGCCGGTTCGACTTCCCGCTCCGAAGCTTTGTCAGCGCTGTCCGAGCTCAACCAATCAGAACCTCCAGGTGTTCCCCAGGACCAAGTAGGAGCTTCTGGTGGCACGGCCTCCAACAGGAGCCAATCAGGGAACCTTCCTACAGTTACTGGGAAGATCGATGACTTGATGAAACCGGCACACGCTGATGAGATGTAGAAAAGGAACCACCTGAACCGGACCGGTACTGCTGCAGCCAAGGCGGGCTCTGAGGAAGAAGGTTCTGGTTCTCATAATGAAACCAGAACATCACTAAAGTGGGGAGCAAGGGTCTGCAGCCTGTGGCTCTGGAGCCACCAGGCTCTGAATACCTTTAGCCAGTTTAAGCAGCTTTGCTGCTTAATGTCATTATAAATGTGTTGAATAAAAGTACCGGTAATACTTTTAGATTTATTTATGTTTCGTTTTCCGCAAATGTCAGCATTTCACATGGAAAATATTCCCAATTCTGTATGCAAAACTAATAACAGAAACAAACACGCAAGAAAGGATGTTTATGGACTCGTAAAACTATTTCTGAATGTAATATTCTGAACTAAACAGAGAATCGTTTTTGTCCGGTGGCCCAAATCCTCTTCTGTAGATATTTATCAGAAATGAATAACGGTCTCTTTTCAAAGGTCCTGGACGGGCTGCAGCTCTAAACACCTTTTATCTGGGTGGACTGGTTCGGATACCAGGTTTCTGGCTGCTGACTTTCTGGTTTAGGCTTTGTTGTACAAGTTTTTACTGATGATTTATCTGTATTTAGTACGGTGACCTTGGGCTGAAGAAATGAGTCATAAAATAAAATGTTTTATTATTACAAGTCATATTATATTATTATTGTTATTATCTGTATCATCATCATCATTACGTTCCTCAACTGAACAAAACAAGTTTTAATAAGATTCCTATCTTACAGGTGAAACTAATATATGAGATAGACTACAGATATTTTATATAATTGTGATGATTTGGTTTTCAGTCAAAATCTCAGGCAATTAGAATATTGTGATCAGAACATTATCAGAACCATGATTGGATTTTGAGTTTGTGTGACCCGGGCCCCAGCAGCCCACTGCTCCTCGGAGGGCTCAGATGCCAAGAAAAATTTCCCCAAGATGATAAAAATATCTGATTAAAATGTTTTTGCTGAATTCTGTCACAACGAGGTGCCTCATAGGCTGCAGGTAGGTTAGAAAAACTTCGTCTTGAGATTAACTCGGTTCGGTGAAACCAGTTTGTTCTCCATCAGGTCCAGTTCATGGAGAAGCTCAGGTGAGTTGTGAAAGGAGACCTGATGTAATTTCCTGTTTGGATTATGTTAATCCTCATGCTGTACTTTCTGATGATGATGGTGCCACAGGTTGTCTGATAAGCCCAGAGCAGCAGGTTCCATCACACAAAGAACAAACTTCAGATTGCATATTTGGATCCTCTAGACTAGAATAAATCAGAAGCTGCAGAAGAAAACGTCTAACTGTTAAGGTGCAGCTGTTTGATGAAGGATGGAGCTGTCTGAGGAAGAGGACCACCATAAAAGAGAAGGAAGAGCTGGAGTAGAATTTTAATGGAATAAAAAAAATCTCAGTATACCAGATCTGGCTTAATCCAGTCTGAACCAGGACAGGTCTGGTTTAATCTGATGAACAGAACAGTTCTGCTGGTGAAGTTTCCTGCCTAAGGACACGGCCAACTGGCAACTCTCGACGCTCACCTGGCAGCACAAACCTTTGACCTACTCGCCTGTATGTGTGACTGATCATGAAGCTCAAGTGGGTTATTTATTGCTCGGAGCCACACGGTGTCATTCTAACTTTAAATTGCTGTTCTTTTGGACCACGAGGAGGCGCCAAGCAGCAAGCCAAGGGTCCAGTTTCACCTCTCTTGGAGCTCCTGCTCAGTGGGTCTGGAGCTCAGTCTCATCCTGGGGCACCAAGGGACCCCTGACTAGATTGGACAGCCCGCACCCCACCCCCCACCTCTTGCCCCTCCTCTCACCAGCTCCTCCACCCCACCCCTTCCCTCTCTAATCCCTCCCTCCTCTCTCCTCTGCCTTTCCCCTCTCTCCTCTCTTGCTCCCTCTTCCTGCCCCCCACCTTCCTGCAGGCAGAGCATCTCCTAGCTCTCTGACGGTTGGTCACATTTAACAGATTTTGAGCGCCGGTGATTGCGGACCATGCCCACCCTCCATACATGTGACGGGCCTCTGATTTGTGACCAGTGGTTATCTCTGATGTTCATATTTTGAGAAGGAAACTCAGAGCGGACCTTTACTGGCACATGAAACATTTTGGGAGAGTTTCTGGGATTTCCTGCAGCATGGAGAAGATCTGCTCTGGTAGATTCACCTGTACTGATTAAACAGGGCTCTTGTCTTCCACCTCAGTCAGGTATGGATGCCCAATAGTGAAAAATTGCAGCTGAATTGTTAACCTGAATGTTTGTTGCTTTTTTCACATTTGATCACATCTATCAGATGGATCTGATCTCTGTTTTCCTCCTAATCAGGAATTAATAAGCAGCTCAGGACAATCTCTGTCTTTAGTCTGATCTGGAATCAGAAGTTTAAAACTGATAAATGGATTGTATTTGTGGAGCACTTTTCTAATGTTTACCAACCACTTGAAGTACTTTAGATTACAAGTCTTTGTCCTGATCCGAGGACAGTATCTCCACAATGTTGTAAGCTGAAACATGAACAGAAGACTTAACAGCAGAACATCATTCGACTTTAGGTCAGTTTGGCAGACTTTTAGTTTTGTTGGGAACAGGTGAAAGAAAAAGTCCTTTGAATTTTGATAGTGTTGTGAATTATTCCTGGTCCAGAACAAGGTTCCTCACATTAGGACAAGTTAACACCATCCAGAGGAAATGGGACAGAAAGGTGCCAGAGGTAAACCGGTAGCTGATGGCGTAGCTGGTGAAATCTGATATGGTTTATATGTGTCAGCAAGGAATAATGAAGCTCAGCATCTCTGAGGAGGATGTGACTCTTAAAACAGATGTTGGAACTGTTTTTGTCACCAGGTGTCTCTGACTTTCTGCAGGTTGGGAGTAATTCACCAACAGTTAAAAGGTGATGACCTGCTGGGCAGAAACGTTCTGCTGCATGGAGGCCTGGACTCTCCTGCTGGTTCTGTTAGCTCTGTTGGACCTACAGTTAGTGGCTGGGCAAGAGGCTCAGCATCATGGAGTGAACCATCACCACAGAGATCATCATGACCTTGGAAAACATCATAACATCACACTGGCTTTTATTCTGCCACAGACTAATGTGGATTATGCATGGGCGTGGCCTCGTGTTGGCCCTGCCCTGGACCGGGCTGTCAGAACTGTAAACTCTGATCCTACTCTGCTGCCCAACCATCATCTCTCCTATGCCTTCAAGAACAGCGAGAATGAGCACAGGATCTGCTCTGAGTCTGTGGCGCCGCTCATGGCGGTGGATCTGAAGCTTGCATACGACCCGTGGGCCTTCATTGGGCCCGGCTGCTCCTACACATCTTCACCAGTGGGATTATTCACCACCCACTGGGATGTGCCCATGATCACAGCAGGTGCTCCAGCCACAGCTTTTGATGGGGGCATCTACCTGTCCATCACCAACACAGGCCCCACCCACAAGAAGCTGGGCAGGTTTGCGCTGAAGATCTGTGAGCACTTTGGGTGGCAAGAACATGTGATGCTGATGTTTAGCGATAACAAGGCAGATGATCGGCCATGCTACTTTGCTATGGAGGGTCTGTACATGGAACTGAAGAGGATCAACATCAGCACTCAGGACAGCGTGTTCGAGGAGAACAAACCGGCCATCAATTACTCCCAGATCCTTGCCGACATCCAGAATAATGGCCGTGGTGAGTCTCACATCCACAGACAGAGGTTGGAAATTCACACTACTGTCCAATCACAGGACCTTCCACTCAAATAACAGATATTGTGTGGCAGGAAGCTGATGTGACTTCATGCAGCTTGAGCTTACAGATATTGAGAAGTTTCAGCATAGTGTTGGATCTACTCTTGTTTTGTGTCCGAATTAAACTTCACACTGAGAATGCTACCATGGAAACCAAAAAGCTGATAGGAGATGATTCAACTATCGGACTGAAAATTCATGGATTATTCAAATGCCTGAGTTATATTGAGTTCTGATTAGTCTGTTGTTGGGTGGACCTGCTGTGATACCAGATTGTAATGCTTACTAATGTGTGTGTGTGTGTGTGTGTGCGTGCGCACGTGCATGCGTACGTATGTGTGTGTAGCTCAGGTTTTATTGTAAGATAAATAAAAGTTACTAAAAGCTGGAAACAGCTGAATTCATTCAGTTAAAATCTGACAAAAGCTATTACTTCTGCAGCAGCAAAAACAGTATTTCTGCAGAGTAATCAGAGTATTTCTGTAGGATTGTGTTTTATAGGTATGTTTTGTGACTTTGTTCTCCAGAAGTCACAGCTTGAACTCGTCAGCTAAGGAGGCTCAGTTCCTGAACAGCAAACCTCCAGGACCTCCTCACAGTGACTCAGCTATTATGTCCACAAACATTAATCATCGTTTTTCTGACCAGATCACAAACAAGTTAAACCGGTGAAGCTATCTGGAAGATGTTTGTCTGGTTCTTCTGATTACACTGATCCAGAATATGTTCTGATCTGATTCGGAGTCCTTTGTGTGATTATCTCAGACATCAGCTCCTGGCTGCTAGCTTCAGCACCTCCTCCTCCTCCTCCACATCAGTGCAGCAGACAGAAACCTGAGCCCGATCGATGCGTCTGCAGCTGACAGCAAGCTCAGGATAAGATCAGATCTGCTGGCAGGAAGTAGTCCATCAGGTCGTGACGAAGCAGAAACATTAACCAGATCTAAGGCAAATCCCATCAAGGAACAACCGCGAGGAAGACGACATAAAGACACAAAACACAGTTTGATCAGTAGATGGAGGCAGTTGTTGTTAGAATTTCCTGTTAGAACAGGAAGCAAGAAATAAAACCTTCATTTCATCATCAGCTCACTTTGCTGAGCTGAGGATTTAAAACCAGCAACCCCTCTTTATCATCATCATCATCATCAGGGGCCACTGCACAGGGAGAACCAGCAGACATCCCAACCAGACCTTCACAGAACCAGAACCCTGACTGTTTGGGTCTTGGTTCCTATCAGATCCAGAGGAAATTCCTGCCACTTTTACTTCATCTGTCTGTCTTTTGTCTTTTTAATCAACCCTAACTCTGTCTCTGACCTTTAAATCACAGTCTGAGGTGTTGATTCTGTGCCATCAGGCGAAGACTGCAGGAACCACTTCTCTGGTTCTGAGGTAAATCGGGTCAGGTCTGTTAAACACGTCAGACAGGAGTGCTGATACATGAGTCAGAACCACATCACAAATTGGATCCATGAATCCAGAAGTTCAGTTCAGAACTTCTGACTCTGGGTTTTCCAATTAAAATTGAGAAGAACAGAACCAACATTCCTCTTCATAAAACAGGAAATGGACCTGAGGATCTCTCAGTACCAGCATGCAGCTCGACCAGACCACTCTCTCTCTGCTGGCTTCCTTTCTCCAGACTCTTGGGACATAGTGGAGTTTGGAAAAGCTGCGTAGCTGAGCTCATCCTGGAACATAGTTTATAGCAGATCGTGCTTCAGGTCTGTTTTCCTCCTAGCTGCCGCTGTTCCTCCCATCTGGCTGCAGTTAACTATCAGCTGGAATATGTTTCAGACAGTGGTGGACGTGCTTAGTTGGAATAAACTTGAACCTCCAAGCGTCACAGGGGAAGGAGGCCCGCTCCATGGGTCCTTCAGAACTGAGTTGAAACAGATTTAAGAAAAGGTAGAAGATAGAATGCTCCAGTCTAAGGAATTTAATCCACCCTGCAGGGCAATCTTGTTAGACTCCTCACAGCAGGAATCCTTTAAAAGATAATGAATGATAAATGACCCACACTTATAGCACCTTTCAGAGAGGACTCCAAAGCGCTTTACACTACAGTGTATCATTCATCCATTCACACACACATTCACACACTGATTGTGATAAGCTACAGCCCATTGTAGACACAACTGCCCTGGGGCTCGCTGACGGAGGCGAGGCTGCCAAGCACAGGTGCCACCGGTCCTGACCACCACCAGCAGGCAAGACAGGTGAGGTGTCTTGCCCAAGGACACAACAGCAGAATTCTCCGTCAGGAGCCAGGATTGTTTCTACAACCCTCCGATTGATGGACAACCCGGTCCTGAGCTACTGCTTTATGCATCAGTGTCAGTTCTGTGTGAGGTAGGGACAGGTGTCCATAATGGTCCAGACAGGGGACCAGGGTCCCGACGGTTCCAAATAGGGGAATGGTGTTCATTTTTGGTCCAGACAGGGGACAGATGTCCATACTAATACAGACAGGAGACTGTGGTGTGGTCCATAATGGTCCAGACAGGGGACAGGTGTCCCTATTGGTCAAGACAGAAGACTGTGGTCCATAATGGTCTAGACAGGGGACAGGTGTCCCTACTGGTCGAGACAGAAGACTGTGGTCCATAATGGTCCAGACAGGGGACAGGTGTCCCTACTGGTCGAGACAGAAGACTGTGGTCCATAATGGTCCACAGTGGGGACAGGTGTCCATACTAATCCAGCCAACAGACTGTGGTCCAAAATGGTCCAGACAGGGGAGAGGTGTCCACACTGGTCCAGACAGGAGACTGCGGTCCATAATGGTCCACAGTGGGGACAGGTGTCCATACTAATCCAGCCAACAGACTGTGGTCCATAATGGTGTAGACAGGGGACAGGTGTCCCTACTGGTCAAGACAGGAGACTAGTCCATAATGGTCCAGACGGGACAGGTGTCCATAATGGTCCAGACAGGGGACAGGTGTCCATAATGGTCTAGACAAGGGACCAGGGTCCAGACTAATCCAGACACGAGACTGTGGTCCAAAATAGTCCAGACAGGGGACAGTCCATACTGGTCCAGACAGGAGACTGTGGTCCATAATGGTGTAGACAGGGGACAGGTGTCCCTACTGGTCAAGACAGGAGACTGGTCCATAATGGTCCAGACAGGGGACAGATGTCCATACTGGCATTTGCTGTGTCTTCATTTCTTTTGAATGTAATCTCCTGTCTTCTTCCCATCAGTGATGTTCGTGTGCTGCTCTCCGGATGTCTTCAGGAAACTGATGATCCACTTCTGGCGGGCCAACCTTCCACATGAGCAATATGTCTTCTTCTACATGGATCTGTTTGCTGATAGCCTGAACGCAAGGCAGAAGCAACCTTGGGCCCGTGGAGACAAGGATGACCATGTTGCCAAGGAGGCCTTTCAGGTACACTTAGATTTGAAGGAAGCTTCTGAAACTGTCTCACATGTTTGAACATTTAAAACACAATAAAATTCAAACAAAGGACAACTGAAGCAAAACCTCTCTAACCCATCAAAGCTTGACACGCCGTCTAAATCTTTTTGCACCTACAAAGCTGATACAGCAAACGGTTCCTGCAGAACAAGCTGATATTGTTTCGACTCCTTAAGAGTCCATCTGACGCGCGGTTCCATCCATCTGTCGTGACCCGAAACATCTCTGGACTGGAGAAGTCGGTGCTGTGGTCAATCTACTGGACCTGGGTGCCAGAGGACATCCGACCTCTCTGACCTTCGGATCCACAAAGAGGGTCTCCGAGAACGGGTGAAGTAGACACACAGATAGCGTCTGATGCCTTTTGATAATAATCAACTTCTTAGCTTAATGCAAACCAAATTCTTTTACACCCAGAACTCAGCTCTCCTAGATACGGAAGTTCTGTTAACATCGAATTCACACATAGGCACCATACACTACACCTGCTCCTTCTAGATTCATCCATCACAGTACATATTAGTTAACCTGTCATGTTTTAATTGTTTGTGAATTAAATTCTTACTTTTACAAACCTGAATCTTTTCTGAATCAAAACAAAGTGTTTACAATACCTGAATAAAACAAAGAATCCTAGAATCTTCTGATTAAATACACAAGACCAAACAGGTTGATATTCTATATTTATATAGAGTATCACAGCTTAATGGTCATAAGTAGAGATAATATATATTGAGCTCTTAAAGCCCTCAATTTACCAAACCCTACACTCGCCTTGCCTTATGCAAAACCCCAACCTCACTGGATAGAGGAGATTCCCCGGATTTATTCCACCAGTGTGCTGCCCGGGCTATTTTCTATCTACCTTCTGCCTCTGGGCAATATCCTGAATCAGCATGGCCTGAGCTATCACATTTACGCTGATGACTGTCAACTATACGAAGAAATGGATGAGAAGAATGCGGGCTCGAAATTGGCTGCATGTTTAGATGACGTGAAGGGCTGCCTGACATCCAACTTCTTAAAGTTAAACGAAAAGAAGTCTGAGTTTATTGTTCTTGACCCCTGCAACCACCATGGCTCTCACCCTGTTTGTGACCTTTTAACCCTCAACCCCAAACAGTGTGTGACAAGTCTCAGGGTCAAGCTGGATGCTGGACTCACAATGGTCCCACAGATAAACTCCGTAGTGAGGTCTTGCTTTTATCAGCTTCGCCGCCTTACTCGCCTCAGACGAATCCTGAAACGGAGGCATTTGGAGTCAGTCATCCATGCCTTCATCACCTCTCGCTTGGACTACGCAAACGCCCTCCTCGTTGGTGTTCCGGTATCCGCCCTGAATCGGCTGCAGGTCGTCCAGAACACTGCTGCCAGGTTCTCGACGAGTACACACCGACGTAGCCATATTACCCCTGTCCTGGAACATCTTCACTGGCTCCCTGTCATTTTCAGAGTGCAGTTTAAGTTACTGACCTTTTTATTTAAAGCTCTCAATGACCTGGCACATCCCTATCTCTCTGACCTGCTCACTCCATATGTGCCTACGCGCACATTGAGGTCGGCTGACCTTGTGCTGCTGTGCACGCCGCAGATGCGATTCAAATCGAGGGGTGAACGAGCATTTGTCCATGCTGCCCCAAAGCTATGGAACTCATTGCCCACTGGAGTTCGGCAGGCTCCATCTCTGGCGGTTTTTAAATCTCGTTTAAAGACCCACTTTTACGCTTTGGGTTTTAGACAGTGACTCGTTTTAGTGTTTTATTGTATCATTGTTTTAATGTGTTCTTAGTATTCATCATGTTTTATCTGCTTTTGATTGGGATTTTTTATCCTCTGTTTTAGTTCTTTCGAATGGTTGTGTTTTGTTTTAGCCTGTGCAGCAATTTGGGCAGCTCCCATGCTGCGTTTTAAATGTGCTATATACTGTAAATAAACTATGCTATGCTATGCTATACTATGCAGCCCTACACTGAAAAAAAAAAACAAAGTAAGCTGAGTATGTCCTTTCAGTTTATCTGCACCTGCCTGCTTGTAATGCAGGTTATGAGTGGTTTACTGTAATGGTTCATGTTTTTGTTATTCAGTTAATGCTTTTGAAAAAAAAAACACAAGCCGAAGTGAATATACTATTGTTGAACAAAGACATGATTGCAATGGTGGTAGCCCACATGTGGGAGTACATACTAAATCAGCTCAGAAAGGCCACTCAGGCAGGACTGAAACTTGTAACCTTCTTGCTGCAAGGCAACAGAGCTGCCAACTGCACCACTAAGCAGTCTGGATCAGAAACATTTTCCTTATTGTAATTTTGTTGTACTTTTTTTTTATCTGGTTCACAGTTAAAATAAAGAAACAGTGTGTTTTAAGGTCAGAGTTCAGCAGGTTGATTTGTGTTTTTCTTTGGTTTCCAGTGTGTGAAAATCCTGACGTATAGAGAACCTTTGAATCCAGAGTACCGACAATTTGTGTCCCAGCTAAAGATGGATGCCCGTCAAATGTTCAACTACAGCGTGGAAGACTCTCTGGTGAGACAAGCGGAGGTCTTATTGACTAATATTGACTGTGTTTGCGTCTTCTTTGACAGAGTATGGTGGACTGCCCCGTTGACTGGCATCCATAGCATTGAGTAGTTCATTGTCCAAAGGCATGTTGAAATCATTTGAGAGACAGCTGTAGATTCTGCCCCACAAGCGAGCTCTGTCTATGGGTCTTGGCCAGACTATATACTGAAACGATCACATCTGAAATCTGTTATTCATGCCTTCATCACCTCCCGCCTGGACTATGCTAATGCACTTCTCACTGGTACTACGGTTTCAGCCTTGAACCGGCTGCAGTTAGTACAGAATGCTGCAGCAAGGTTCCTAAGAAACACAAATAGATGCAGTCACATCACCCCGGTTCTGGAGCATTTACATTGGCTTCCAGTAACATTCAGGGTGAGATTTCAAATTCTGCTTTTTGTGTTTAAGGCCTTAAATGGTCTCGCTCCAACCTCTTTATCAGCTCTGCTTACACCTTATGTACCAGCTTGCTCACTGAGGTCATCTGAGTGAGCTATTGTGTATATTGACCCAGTGTTTTGGAATGCACTACCCCTTTCTATTAGGCAGTCTTCATCCGTTGCTGTTTTTAACTCTTGGCTGAAGACTAACGTTTACAAATTGGCTTTTGGACAATGACTCCTTCATTGTGCTTTTATTGTATTTTTACTGATTGTTCTTATCTGTATTGTGATGTTGTTTTATGATTGTTTCTGCAGCACTTTGGTCGGCTCACATGTCGTTTTTGAAATGTGCTATAGAAAAAAAGGTGGTATGGTATGGTATGGTATGGTATGGTATGGTATGGTATGGTATATATTTTCATATATAGGATGGCTTGTTAGGCTAGCATGAATGACATCCTGCAGTCAAATTTGGGTACTGTGGCTCACCATAGCCCAGGCTCTGACAAGCGGCTATGTTTTGTAGTAGGTATGAAGCATGGAGCAGCACTTTATCCATATGGAACTTCATTACAGAAGAGTACCATTCACAGCCTGGCAAGCCATCCTATTATAAGAATATATAGTCTGGCCACAACCCACAGAGAAAGCTCAGTCAAGGGATATAATCTACGGATGTCTTTCAAACAGTCTCTGCATGCTTTTTAAAAACAAACAATGTGACATACTCACCGCTATGACTGTCAGTCAACAGGACAGTCCACCATATACTGTCAGGAAGCTGCAAATACATCCCTTTTCTAAATAAAGACCTTAAGTACTGGTATCTGCTCTTGACTCCAGGAAAAGTCCAAGTCTACATAGTCCAAAAGTGATGCAAAAGCAGTTTCAAGCAAGCTGTCGCCATCTTAGTTGTTCTGCTCTGTTGCATCATCCAGCCCAGCAAACAGATAAAGTGCTGTGACTACCATAAACAATACTGCTCAGGCCAATGGTAGGTCTGCTGATGTTCCTATGGAGCGTGGCTAGACTGACATGCAGAGCAAAATCATTTTGTTTCAGCTCCTGTCTGTCTAGATTTCTTGGCTAGAACATTCATGCTCAGGATCCATCTTGCATTTTTCTCACTTTTTTTCTGCACTCAGTATTAGCCTGTTTTACCCCTAGTGTTCAGAACATAACACTTTCTCACTGTCGTCCTGACAGTTTCGTGGCTGTTGCCTACTGCTCAGTTCCAGAAGATTCTAGATGAAAAGTGAAGACGAGTCATACACAGTTAAGCCTGGGACACACCGGAGGCGGATGCGCCGCAGAGCGTCGCGCCCGAGATTTTGAGAAGTCAAGTGGTCACACAGGACACGCCGTGCTGCTGAGCGCTTCTTGGAAAGTCGCGCTATAGTCACAACATCACGCGAGGTTGGGAACAGACAGCGGGAAGGGAATCTATTGTTTATACGTGATCAGACTTACCATTGTGTTTTGACGTATACATCTCCGGTGTGGCCCAGGTTTAAGTTGATAAGTAGATAAATACATTTCACAGTGATGTTAATAATAATAATAATAATAATAATAATAATAATAATAATAATGCATTGAACTTATATAGCGCTTTTCTAGACACCCAAAGACGCTTTCACACACTCTCACATTCACACACTGCTAGTGATGGTAAGCTACTTGTAGCCACAGCCAGCCTGGGGAGGTCTGACAGAGGCGAGGCTGCCATTTGGCGCCGTCAGCCCCTCTGACCACCACTAACACAGGCAAGTTGGGTGAAGTGTCTTGCCCAAGGACACAACAGCAGAATACCACTGGCGGGAACTGGAATCGAACCCATGACCCTCCGATCATGAGGCAACCCGCTCTACCACCTGAGCTACTGCTGCCCCTGTGTTGTTGGTGACTAAAATAGCAGCTAGAGCTGATTATTACTTTCTAATTCTACGTTCGCATTGTTAGCTCAATGTTAGCTCAGTATTAACCTCAAGTCTTTTTTACCTGATATTAGAGGAAAACCTTCTTAGAGTTACAAGAAATTACTTCTGGGTTGCTCCTGTTTCTTGCCAGTGTTGAATTACAAATTCCAGTGCAGACTCTGCAATATAATTACACAATTCACAAATTGTAAACAAAGCCTAAGTCCCTCTTTAGCTTTTTGAATGGAAAAAAACTGACAATCACCCAGCCAGCTGAGAAGGAAATTTGTTTCACTTTGACCTTCCTTCCCACTTAATTGAGACATTAGATGATTTTGTGATTATTTCACTGTAAAATAATACTTTTCATTTAAATAATGGGTTAGGTTAGTTTCTGTTCTTTTTAACATGTTTCTTTTCAAGCATTACAACAACCATTACATTTTAGGTTGAACTTGTTTGCCTTTTGGCTTTTCCCTTCAGGTGTTGCCACAGAAAACCATCTGTCCCCATTGAATCCCATTTTCTGCTTCATTTCTCACACCAAATCTCTTCCTGTCTTTCACTGCATTATTCAGGTTTTCAATGTTGTTCTAAGGACTGCTGGTTTTGTCTGTGTGAACGTTTGTGTGTCTGCAAGTCTGAAAATTCCAGTTTTCTTGTCTCCAAAATGGCACATTTTACCATTTCACTTTCATCACAAAGTTTGCATAGACAGTTTTGCAAGTTACAGACCACATTTTGTGCATAAGAAAGCTATATTATTAAGGACACTGGTGCAATGGTTAAATGCGGCACCAAAACTATCACTGTCACCATGACATCTCAAACATAGAGACTATTTTTATGAGTTCTCATGTGCAGTCTGAACATGGTTACAGAGGGTTTGACTCTAGAACATGGCACTGAAACAGTGACAAGAAGCAGGCCAGAGAAACAGGTGGGTTTACAGGTTTCTGTACCACCCACAGACCTAAAGTGTGCCCCTCCTCATGAGCCGTTACAGATTCACCAATTTAAAAAAAACAATAACATTAATAAAATCACTGATCATAGGCTGAGGATCACAAAAGATACCTCCTTGCTGATGGTATGATGTGTCGCATTGGTAGAAGGCCAACAGCTCTCCAGATGTTCTGAAGATCTGTAAGAGACTGTTTTTTTTTTTTTACCGAGGCAGAAAAAGGCTCCAAACTCCAAAGATGAGTCAGGGAAGAATACCAGAAACACAAGAACCTCCTGTATTTTTGATTTAGGCATGTGGTAATTTATTAGAGTTGAGCAAAACCAACTAGCTGCACCTCAAACTGATGTGAGACCTCTTTAACCTCCTGCCTCTGTTTTCCAGATGAACATCATTGCTGGAGGATTCTATGATGGTCTAATGCTCTACATTCAAGTTCTGAATGAGACCATGATGATGTCCAAAGGCCGTCCACCAGGAAGCATCATCACCAAAAAGATGTGGAACCGAACCTTTCATGGTCAGTCAGCTTTCATTGTTAATAATATCCAGTCCCTAACCAGGTCAACGTCTCCTACAGGATCAATAGGTCCTATGGGCGCTACAGCTCAGTCCAGGTCCAAATCAAATAGTCTTTTGTTTGAATCCAGACACTGTTATGTCTGAGACCCCACAAGGTCTCAGCATGGGATGGATTTGGGCAGATTCATCTGTGGGTTGCCCTTAACTAAATCTAATAGGGACCCATGTGGGAAAACATATATAGGCCTGTCATGTTCTGCGTCCTGCATCCCCCTCATGTGTCTCCTTGTGTTCTCCAGCCATCTCTAGGTTCCCCTTATGTGTCTCCTTGCGTTCCTCATGTGCCTCATTGTGTTCCCCAGCTCACTCCAGGTTTTCCCCTTAGGTGTTCTCCTTAGGTTTCCGTGCCCCTTTAGGTCTCCAGCTCCCTCCAGGTTTCCCTCAGGTTCCCCTTTAGTGATTTCAGATTTAGTTATCCCATCCCTGTTAGTGTTTTTCTTCTGGTGTCTAGTTTTCAGGTTTAGGAGTTCACTTATCTTTAGTTCTCTGTAGATTAGTTTTACCTAGTCAGTTTTCCCCACTTAGTTAATTAGTCTCACCTGATCCCTTCTGATCTCACTCCCCACACACCTGTCACCTGTTTCCCTCTGTGTATATAACCCTGTCTGCATGTGTTGTCAGTCCATTGTTTGTGTTAGCGTTGTCTCGTTTCCCTCTCCTGGTCTCTAGGTATTTGGATGTCTCTGGGTTTTGCTCTTTAAAGGAGCTCTTGGTCTCTAGGTTTGTGCATTAGGATTTTTGGATTTAGGTTTTTGGCCACCTGCCCTTTGAATTTTACTTTGGACGATTATTCCTAATAAAATATTTTACGTTTCTCTACTACTCCTGCCTTGTGTCATCCTGGTTCTGCATCTTGGGTCCTAACCTCCTCCTGGCTTACATCGTGACAGGGCCCCATTCATGCAACCATAAACCAAGAACCTTGTGGGTGAACTCGGGGGTAAATGTGGGTTTGCCCTGCCCACACTAGCCCAGACACAGCTCACAAAAGCCCATGGTGGGCCCAAACGGGCATATTTGCTCGGTCATTTGGGTCTGGATGGGTCTGCTGTGGTCTCATCAGTCCTATGATCGTTCTCTTTCAGGTGTGACAGGGATGGTTCACCTGGATGAAAATGGGGACAGAGAGATAGACTTTGCTTTGTGGGACCTGGTGGACACCAACAGCAGCACCTATCAGGTGAGAACACCCTCTACAGAACTTAGTCAGTCCCAAAACTTTCCAGGAGCTTAAAACAAACCTTGTGGTGACATGAGGTGACCATTCTCAGAAGAATGCATTTTTACTCTGACTTCTGAATTCTTCAGACAGAAAAAGTTCCTTAACACTAACCTTAACTCAAGGGATGAGCCTAAATTGTGCTTATTAAAAAACAGAGCCTGTTTAAAAATAATCTTTAGTTTCTTTGGTACCAGCAGAAGGTCAGAGTCTCAACTGTGTTCTACAAGAATCACAATTTCAGCTCCTATCAGCTGAGTCCCAAATGGCTGTGAGGAAGAAGGAAGTGTTTTAGTTCCTGGTTAAGAGTTTTTAGGCCTGAAGCGTTTGTTTTTGTTTTTGTTTTCCACCCATCCTGGAAACAGATCTGGCTTGTTCCAGGTTTTACAGCTAAGGCTTCCGATGTCTGAGTCTTCCTGGTATCGTGGTGGACTGGAGTTTCTAGTTCACATTTTAAACCTGGCTGCGGGAACAAAACAGATCTGACCCATTGGAGGGTTCTTGTTTGTTTGTTTGTTTGTTTGTTTGTTTGTGTCTCTTCCTGCAGATCGCTCTGGTTTACAGCAGCTCTGAAGAAAAGCTGACAGCTGTTCCTGGAACAGTTTTAAACTGGCTGGGTGGACAGGTTCCTCATGATGTTCCAAACTGTGGCTTCAAGAATGACAACCCTATATGTCGTACGAGTTAGTGAAGCAGAGATAAGCCGCAACTTTAATCATGTTCTGGATGTTCTGATCGCATTCCATGTCTCTGTCAGAAACCATCACCATCCACCAGATGGCCTTCACCGTGATCTTTTTCATCCTCACCATGGCCCTGGCCACAGCTGTCTTTATCTACAGGTGAGAGTTGCAACATGATCATGTGACCACCATCACTCACAAACGTACTGACTTTAAATTTGGAATGATCAGAAAAAATCCCCCGGGAATGTCAAACTGGGGCGGCTTCATTTGAACCTTCATTTTACTGTAGTGGAGATGTTTGACAGCACTCATGATTCTTATGTTGACCCAGCTAGGGTGTCCCAAGACTGCCCCCCCCCCCCCCCCACCCAAGAAATGTGGAATGCTGCCGTCGCCATGGCAACTCTGTCTCCCTATCCCAGCCTGGGCGGGACTGCGAGCAGTGAAGGCCGCTGAATCGCTGCAGGAGTCACTGTGCCCTCTAAACCCAACGACCTCTCGCCCCTGTCCAGACTGAGGTGACGAGCGCCGCTTATCGCGGCTACATTCACTGACTTGTGGAGAGTCCCAAACCCTACCACCCCACCTATTGGACTTGTCCCCCCCACCACATTTTCCATAGTCAATTTTTGTCTCCTGCACTTTTTACCATCCAAAAACTATATTACGCTATAATAAATAGACACTGGGTGAGCACTAGGACCAAGCAGAAAACAATCGCTTGTGGTGAAGCCTGTTTCCCATTACATATTACTAAGTATATTTTTGTGTACTTACTGTAAAGATCCCTCCCAGTCCTCATGCCAGTTGTGCACCCCCCCACCCCCACCCCACCGCCACTTCTGTAGTCAAAACTGCACCTATGTGTGTGACACAAAACTGGTTGTCATAACTTAATATAACAGCATTTAGTGAACTCTTTATTTAATGTTTCTATTTTGTCTTCTGGTTGTTTTTTTTTTTACAATGTTTTAAAAGCCCATCTAAGGACAAATGCTGCAAATTATCTATGGCTAAAAGCGTTTGCTACAAAAATGGGGCCACGCCTTAAGTTTGTCTGTGTTCTTGTATCTGCCCCTATTAAATAAACATGATGAATTAATGACATCTTAGAGAAAGTCATAACAGACCCAGACCTGAAACTCATAAGAGAGGGGTTAAGGATTAAGAACGAGGGGTTTTGGTTGTTGATCAGGGATCCCACTGCCTGATTTCTGATCTGGTCTTGATAGTTCTGGTGCAGTTTGAATACTGAAAAGTGTTTTTGGGTGTAGGAGGATGAAGCTGGAGAAGGAGTTGGTGGCACAGCTCTGGAGGATTTCCTGGGAGGACATCCAGATCAGCAACCTGGACAAAGTGTTGCACAGCAGCAGCCGGATCACACTGTCACTGGTAAGTGTGCAAGTGCACATACACTAATTTATCTATTCACCTGATTCATAGATAAGTGACAAAAAGAATCAGTTAGTGAAAACAAATCAATAAGACATTGTTTTAGAAGTGTTCAAATGGTGGTTCTAGAGAGCATCCAACCAGAGCCATATCCAAGATTACATTTTAAACTCTATTCTCGCTAATTTCTGACCATTGCTGCACACTAGTGCAGTATCTGTTTCCCACATTGCCTCCACCCGCAGACCTATTCATTAATTAAAAAAGATGTACCATAAAATCTGGTTAATATTTATTTTTTGTTTGGAGTAACATGAGTTTCCATATATCCGATTTTCTGCCAGTTTCTTTAGATTTTTCTCTCTAGTCTTAATTTTATCATCAACTTCATCAGTGCTTTCCATCCAACCACCAATGGTGGCACCTGCCATCTGTTTATAGCTGCCCGCTCCCACCAGAATCAGTCTTACAACCACCTATTTGTGTGGGATCCCAGTCTCAATGCAGTTCTACATTCAAGGTTCTGACCAGGACCATGAGAAAAACAAGTCAACTAAGCCAAACTTAGATGTCCGAGGAAAAGAAAGAAGGTTTGAAACGACAACCAAAAATCTGATAATCCTTACAGAACCCAAATAAATCTATTCCAAGTTATGAGGTAGGGTTAGCTCAGTGAGTCTTCCTCACATCTGAACCCCAGTTTAATGAGAAATGACCTCCATTGTCCTGCTAACTCTGGGTTCTCTGGCCGGATCCCTTTTCTGCTCAGAGGGGATCCAATTTTGGCTCCCTGCTCACCGGAGATGGAAACCTGCGGGTGTTTGCAAAGACTGGATATTACAAGGTGAGTGCCGGTGAGGGGTTAAAGGTTGGGAGTCAGCTGAGTGGCAATGGATAGTCAGATGGTTGGGGCGACGGTGGCACAGGAGTTAAATGCTCGCCCCGTAATCGGAAGGTTGCAGGTTCGAGCCCCGCTCAGTCTGTCGCTGTCGTTGTGTCCTTGGGCAAGACACTTAACCCACGTTGCCTGCTGGTGGTGGTCGGAGGGACCGGTGGCGCCAGTGCTCGGCAGCCTCGCCTCTGTCAGTGCGCCTCAGGGCAGCTGTGGCTACATCGTAGCTCATCCCCACCAGTGTGTGAATGTGTGTGTGAATGGGTGAATGACTGATTGTGTTGTAAAGCGCTTTGGGGGGTTCCAGGACTCTAGAAGGCACTATATCAAATACAGGCTATTTACCATTTTTACTATTCTCAGTAACCAGCAGAACCTGGTTCTGTTAGGAGTCCATCCAGTCTAATCAGAACCACGACTAAAATGGGGGGTTTGTGGCCTAAAACAATTTTTAATTTATAAAACTTTTGGTGACGAATCTGTTGTTGCATTTTAATGCAGCCTGGCCCTGTTTGGTTCCTGTAAAACCTTTTATTGGAACCAGTTGCAGAACCAGGCCGAGGTCCAACTAGTTTCAGTCTGTCTGATGGCACCCGTGTGATACTCTGGAAACTAGAGTGACTTTATAATGACATGATGGTCCTGTTCTGATTGGACTGTGGCCCGAACTGATGATGATCTGAGTGAGTTTTAGTGCAGGTTCTACTGGTTACAGCAGCTCTGTGATCACGCCTGCTCTCTTTCAGGGAAACATTGTGGCCATTAAATACACAAACTGCAAACGGATCGAGCTCAACAGGAAGACTCTGTTTGAGCTGAAGCACGTAAGTAAGGGGGGGGGGGGGGGGGGGGGCATAAAGCGCAGATAAACAACCCTGAAATGTTTCCAAGGAACAGACATTTGGACCCAAACAGGAAGGAACGTTCCACATCAGAATATAATAGAACTCCAGTCAACATTCAAGTGTCTCAAGTCAGTTCAGAATGTGTGATGTTCTGGTTGTGTTGGAACAGCTCAAGGAACCTTCTGCTCTGGAACATTTCAGAACATCTTTGAGTTAACATTTTTTAAATTCAGATGCGAGATGTTCAGAACGAGCACCTGACCAGGTTCATTGGAGCCTGCATCGACCCCCCTAATGTCTGCATCATCACAGAGTACTGCCCCAGAGGCAGTCTGCAGGTACAGTCACCTGTCCAACACCTGTCTCTTTGCCTGATATGAGACTATTTCTCATGTCTCTATGTCCACAGGACATCCTGGAGAATGACAGCATCACTCTGGACTGGATGTTTAAATATTCTCTCATTAATGACATTGTGAAGGTACACGTCCATTTTTACGTTGTGTCTGCGTCCTGCTGGGACAGATGTTCAGGTTCTATCTCTCTCCGCGCCTCTAGGGCATGGTGTTTCTCCACAACAGTGTCATCTTGTCTCATGGTAAACTCAAATCTTCAAACTGTGTTGTGGACAAGCGCTTTGTCCTGAAAATCACCGACTACGGGTTGTCTAGTTTTCGATCAGAGACCAACTCAAGTGATGCCCATGCCTACTATGCCCGTGAGTCCCAGCTGTCCATCCTCCATCTTCATCATTGCTTATTCATCTAAAAGCTGGTTTGGTACTTTTATCTACAGAGAGGTTGTGCATGGCTCCAGAGCTGCTTCGTCTGGAGTCTCCTCCTCTTCAGGGAACCCAAAAAGGAGATGTATACAGCTTTGGGATCATTCTCCAGGAGGTGGCGTTACGGCGGGGCGCCTTCTACCTGGGGGGGAACTTGCTAAGTCCTAAAGGTCAGACCCAGTAGTATCCATCAGTATAACTACAAATGTTTCTTGGGATGTAAGGTTTTTTTCTGACATTATCTAAAAATAACTCACCACATGAACACTATAGCAAGTTGTCTGAAGTAAAGCTTGTGAGGAGAAGGTTAACCTATCCCTAACACTCCAAAGGGGAGAAGCTAAAGAGTATGTCCAAGGTTTATCAGGTTTTTGTAACAAAACCTTTGCTACGAGTGTGAATGAAAACATTGATGTGATGGGGTGAATGAAGACACGGAGAACCTAAACTCACCTGTCTTGCAGGGGAGCAGAAAGAGCTGACCTTATTAACCTTGGCTTCATCTACCTCTCAGGTGAAAGAAGGTATTTTTCAACCATCAGGCATCTCACTAAAAGACAGGGCTGAAATGGGAAAAAAGATTTCTAAGCCATCAGCAGTGACTGGCCCTACAGAGGGTCTCTATGCATCTCCGACCTGCTCCAGTTGTACTCCAGGAGAAGGGGTGTTCCCTGGAAGCTCCTGTGTTGGGCTCAGATGGACCTTCATGGTTCTTCAGCAGTAGCCGTCTTGTGTTTTGACAATTCATGATTCTTTTTGCTGTTTCTCAGGAATGAACATTGATTTATTCCCTTTGAGATCATCTCAAATGAACAACTGTCTGGTGTCTCTGCCTGTGTCTCTGCAGAAGTCGTGGACCGTGTGATTCTGGGTGAGTGGCCCTGCCTGAGACCAGTTGTGGACCCTCAAATTCACAGTCCTGAGCTGGGTCAGCTGATGCAGCGCTGCTGGGCCGAGGAGCCAACTGAGAGGCCTGACTTTAACCACATTCACTTGCTGCTTCGCAAACACAACAAGTAAGAGCCAACAGCTATAACACATCAGGGTGTGCTCCTGCTCCATGCAAGACAAACTTCCAGACTCTGGTCTGAACTGAGTTCTTCTGCAGTCATCATGGTTGTCATTTAGTGGGTAGTTCAGGGGGTTGGGAGAACAGAGGCACCTGACAGCAGAAATCACTGACAGGAAGTCACCTGTGCTCTAAACTGTTTGAAATCATTGTCAAAGCTGGCTACAGTTAACGGAGCATGAAGTAACCCAACATGTACCTCTTGCCTGTGTAGCACTGCATATGAAATACAACTTCTGTAATCAGGGAGTCCAGAAGCAACATCCTGGACAACCTGCTGTCCCGCATGGAGCAGTACGCAAACAACCTGGAGGAACTGGTGGAGGAACGGACAGAAGCTTACAACGAGGAGAAACGCAAGGCTGAGGCTCTGCTGTATCAGATCCTACCACAGTGCGTACTAATAGCACTACCACAGTACTACAAATGTTACCACAGACAGTACCACAGGTCTCAGGTTCAGTGTCTCCTTGTATTTTGCAGCTCCGTGGCGGAGCAGCTGAAACAGGGAGAGACAGTTCAGGCAGAAGCCTTTGACTCCGTCACTATATACTTCAGTGATATTGTGGGCTTCACCAACCTGTCTGCAGAGAGCACGCCCATGGAGGTCACTGTCTCTGGTTAGATTACCCTAGCACAATGACCAAAAGTAGAGATAAACTGTTACCTTACCCTAGCACAAAAACCGGAAGTAAAAGAATCTGTAGCTTACCCTAGCTAAATGATAGGAAGTACAGTAATAAGAAACTTACCAAGCTTTTATTATTATTTATTTACTTATTCTGCTGTTTAATTTATAACTTTTATGATGTTTTGGTTTCACTCTTCAGCAGTTTAAAGGCAGGTGTGGAACTTTTAGGCATGCGTCAACATTGCTGCCATCTTGTGTTGGGGCACACACCCTCATGAGGTCTGGGGAGACGGGGAGACTTAAGAAAATGTGGTATACTTGAAGTTTATTTTATCAAGTATGCTTAAGGATAAAGGAAAGTTAGCAAGTATATATGGACCACGTACTTGTAAAATACTAGAAACTTTACTATTTTAAGAACATTTTAAGTTAAATGAAACATACTTAAAGTTTACTTATAAAAAGTCATTTTAATTGAACAAAAGTCAATGTCTCAAGTTTATTTGTAATTGCACATTTAACAACAGCTGAGCTGACCAAAGTGCTTCACAGAAAGTATCTAGTTTAAAACCAAGAAAAAATAAAGAACTAAAGTACACAACAAAAGTACACATTCAAGTACATAGCAAGCACACTCATTGATACATTAATCCATACTATGTATATACTTGTAATTCTCATTTACTCTATTCTGTGTAGGCCTACTGCCATTGCCCTATATACTTTAGTCAACATTATAGTTTAAGTACACTTTAAATACACTTTTAAGAACTTATATTACCGAAATGTACTGCTTTTTTGCTCTGTTAATAGTTTAATTGTTTTAATACAATCATACTTGTAAGTTTGCTTAGCACATTACTTGTAGCATATTTTTAATATAATTGAATTATACTCATATATGCATCCTCATACAGTATGCATGTGTGGCAAGGTGTAGAAATAAGGGCCCGGGCGGTGATTGATCCCCAGACTCCCGGGTGAGAGTCATGTGTGCTAACCAGTCAACCAAAGGGACATCCCCTTGGCCAAGTATCCAGGGCGCATGATCAATCGGGACACTGTGACAGGGCACTCACACTGTCACACATGCTACACTGCAAAGTATTTATGAAATGACAAGCATATGTAGAAACAACTTATATATTTATATAACATTTTAAAACATGGCAAACATCCAGTTGAGGTGGTTTGGGCTCCTGGTTGGGATGCCTCCTGGTCAACTCCCTGGTGACGGTTTTCTGGGCACGTCCAACAGGGAGGAGACGTAAAGGATTACCCAGGACACGCTGGAGGGACTATGTCTCTCACCTGGCCAGGGAACGCCTTGGGATTCCACTGGAGAAGCTGGCCCAAGTGGCCGGGGAGAGGGAAGTCTGGGCCTCTCTGCTTAGGCTTCTGCTTCCGCAACCTGATCCTGAAAAAGTGGATGAAGATGGATGGATGGACACACGAATGGACAGACAGAACAAACAATACATATCCAATTACCTATGCATTTCAAAATCAAAGAGCCTCAATCATTTTTCTGAAACTATGAAAGGAAAATGCATGTGAAATTGTCAACACAATGTTGAAAGTCAGTTAGGATTTTTGGAGGTGAGGACCCAAATGCAGGTAAATCCTGGAGGCAGCCAGATAGACCAAGTGTAAAATGTAATTAAAAATTCCAGAGAAAAGGAAGAGGTAAAAAGATACAAATAAACCACAAGGAACTGAAAGTGAGTTGTGACCTTAACAGCGTTTGAATAAAACTGGGAAGGGTGGGAAAAGATGATCACCATTGGTGATTACTAATGAAACTAAAGGCCAGAATAAAATGAAGAAGCTGGGTATGCTATGATACTAAAATAAACAGAAACACAGGGAGGAAACAGGATAACTGAGAGTACTAAATTATTAAATTCCCTAATTAAAGCCCTAAACAGACACAGAGAACACAGGACATGACAGTTACATGGATAAGATTTAATATTCAAGTAAGTGTAAGTCTTACTGTTAATGTACTCAGTCATATAATCTTTATTATAATACAAGTATACTTCACTATATTATTCATAAGTATAGAAAATAAGGTATTTTAAAAGTAAACATCAAGTACACTGTCTCATTTTTAGTATAAAATGAGTGTATTCATGATACACGATAAACTACTTTTTGCTAAGGGTTGTGCTGCTTAATGGTTTTTCTAATAAAACAGTTCTAAACACTAAAAACTGAAAATCTGTTACCCTGGGTGAGAAGTCTATTTCTAATCTTCTAAATCTAAAGTTCCATTTGACATTAAGCTCCTGTTTACTGACACTTGTTAGGTCATTTAAAACAGAACATGTTTATTGGATTTTTAGCTTCTCCTCTGCTGAGATTCAAGCCAGAAGCTTCGATTATTGATAGATAAAATCCTGACTGTTGCTGTCAAATCCTGGTAGTAGAGAACCTAACTGTGACAGTTGTTTCAGAATCAGTTTGGGTTTAAATGCTGATTTGTTCTTAGATCATCACCCAATTCATCATGGAGATAAAATCCTGTAAACGTTTTCAACAACAGACTGATGGGCTTTAGGGAGAGTGGTACCAAGACCCAAGATGGCAGCTGTAGTAAACCATATGTATGCATATAGGATTTTATCATACTCTGGGTTTTTATCTTGAAAATGTTTAACTTTGAACAACAGATCATGACGAGCTGAACGCTGTTCCCTCTTGTTTCTGCAGGTGGTCACTCTCCTCAATGACCTGTACACCTGCTTCGATGCCATTATCGATAACTTTGATGTTTACAAGGTAAAATGTTATAACTTCTAAAAGCTCAAGGTCGATAAGACACTGAGAATCATCCAGAATATCAAGAGATCTGTTTGTCGTTTATCTTTGCTGTTTGATTTATTTGAACACAAATATCTGTGATGGTTAATTCTTTACTAGAAAGTCTAAAATGTTTAATCCTTGAATGGTTCCTAGGTAACAGTAATATCCAAAGAAAGGGTTACAGAAATGGAATTGGCACCAAGTTGGAGGGAAAATAAAACAAGCCCGTAAAGTCAAAATGTCAAAAAAAATGTTGAAACGTCATTTTGAGCTAGACATGAGGCATTATTTTCTGGCTACTTCCTGATGTCATCCGGGATCCCCAAATCTCATGGTGTCTGTGTACTCAACTACCATGAGTTTAGGTTAGTAGTGAAGAAGAAGAAACAAGCCCGATTTCCTGCCGGCAATGCAGACCAAGCTCTGACACTAGTCATACAGGGACCTAACAGCCAGTATCAGAGGGCTTGGTACCCCATACTCCTGAAGAACCCCCCACGGTGCCCCCGAGAGATGTGGTCAAATGCCTTCTCCAAATCCACATGTAGAACTCCCACACACCCTCCAGGACCTCCTAAGGGTATAGAGCTGGTCCATTGCTCCACGGCCAGGACGAAAACCACATTGCACCCCCTGAATCCGAGGTTCGACAAATCCGACGGACCCTCCTCTCCAGAAGCCCCGAATAGACCTCACCAGGGAGGCTCAGCAGTGTGATCCCCTGTAGTTGGAACACACACTGTGGTCCCCCTTTTTAAATAGGGGGACCACCACCCCAGTCTGCCAATCCAGTGGAACTGCCCCAATGTCCACGTGATACTGCAGAGCTGCATCAGCCAGCACAGCCCCACAACATCCAGAGCCTCAAAAAACTTTGGGCAGATCTCAATCTGACCTCCACCCCAGAGAATGAACAGCTCAACTCAAAGTCTCCAGACTCTGCTTCCTCACTGGAAGACATGCCGTTGGAATTAAGGAGGTCTTCAAAGGACTCCGCCCACCAATCCACATGTCGTGAGTAGAGGTCAGCAGCACACCATCCCCACTATAAGCACTGTTGGTACCACACTGATTTCCCCTCCTGAGATGCCAGATGGTGGACCAGAATCTCCTTGAAGTCCTACGGAAGTCTTGCTGCATGGTCTCACCAAACTCCTTCCACACCAGGTTTTTGCCTGTGTGACAACCCAAGCTGCATTCCACTTGGATGTGGACCCATCAGCTTCCTCTGGTGTCCCACAGGCCAAAAAGGCTCAATAGGACTTTTTTTTTTCAGCTTGACAGCATCCCCAACCGCCTATGTCCACCAGCAGGTTCTGGGGTTGCCACAAGGACAAAAGTCAAAAGATGGCTGCCAGTTGGCTGATGTGGTTGTGTTGGGCTCCACATGTCTTTGTGTTTGTGTTGGTTCGCACCATCTCTGTGGTGTTGCCGTCTAAGCAGCAAATATCAACCAGGTGTAATTGTCCTTTGGCACCCTCAGGTGGAGACCATTGGGGATGCCTACATGGTGGTGTCAGGACTGCCAGTGAGAAATGGGAAGCAACATGGCAGAGAGATTGGCAGCATGGCACTCACCTTGCAGAACGCTGTCCGGACCTTCAGGATCCGCCACCGACCACAGCAGCAACTGGAGCTTAGGATTGGAATACACACTGGTCAAGAAACACACACACACTCAACGCACACAAATATACAAATAAAAACCACAACCATACATATCCATGCACATTAACATGTTTATATTACGTGTTTATTTATTTTTGTGTGTGCGCGCAGGTCCGGTGTGTGCAGGTGTTGTGGGTCTGAAGATGCCCCGGTACTGTCTCTTTGGTGACACTGTCAACACGTCATCCCGTATGGAGTCCAGTGGAGAAGGTGACTGCTCACAGCCTAAAGGTTTGAGCTCAGAACTCCAGATGCTCCTGAGTCTTTGGGGTCCTGTCTCTCTGGTCATTGGAGTCTTACCTGGGTACCTTGGGTAGTGTTTCATCCCACTCCTAACCACACCTCTGCTGCTCTGCAGCTGCAGATCTCCCTAAGGATTCTAAACCTTGCTTAACTTTATTTATAAAGTCCCTTTCACGACCTCATCAGATGCCCATGGGGCTGAACACAAAGTCAGAAACAAGATCTTACAGCACAGGTTCTTCATGGACCGGTTCACTTGTGATCCAGGCTCCAACTGCTGGTTCTTCCTTTTAAGAACAGTCCTACCAATTAGCATTTTATGATAGTAGAATTTAATTACTGCAGTCATTAAAACACTGAGATGTCTGAGAAAAGGTCTTCCATCACAAGCATGGATAACTGTGATGCTGGAGGTCGATTAAGGTTAAGTTAGCTTGGAAAAGGTCAGGTAAGGTCGAGTTTATTCATTCATTTATTTGATAAGGACAGTGGGAGTTCTATTAATTCAAACATCAATAAACATAAGTATGCCAGATTATGGCAGGATTACTAGATTACTAGATTACTTTATCTACAGTCCCCTAAGTAGATCATGCAAAAACCGCACAGGAAACAGTACAAGGTAGTGAATGCAAAAGGAACAGTTGACGAAACACACGTTCCATTTTATAAAGTAGTAAAAGATCGAAGTTTAATGGTTGCATGAATGGCTTGCTTTCAGCCGATGTTTGTGTTGACTTTGATGGCTGGCAATGTAACAGATTTTTTTTGTTCTTGCAGCACTGAAGATCCATGTGTCTGCAGCAACCCGAGACATCCTGATGGAGTTTAACTGTTTTCACCTGGAGCTGAGAGGAACCATCGATGTCAAAGGCAAAGGAAGGATGACCACCTATTGGCTGCTGGGACAGAGCAGCAGCCAATGAGGAAGTAGAACAGATGGAAAACAACAAGAGAGGGTGGAGGGCTTGACAAGTCTTTTAGTCCTGCATCAGATCTGCCAGAAGTTTCCACAAGAGAAAAGTTCTAGGGTTCTTCGTAAACCCAGAACTCCCACGCTTATCAGTCTTTGGATTACAAAGCTGGAGACAACTGAAGCAGGAATGGTGTGGAACATATTCTAGCAGAAAACGTGACTTTTAACCCAGAGCCTCAACTCATACTCCTGCAGGTAAAACACCAGGGATCTGGACCATACTGCTCTTTGAGTTAGAAAGTAGGACTCAACGAAAGCACTGACTCTGGTCCATCTGCTGAGTCAGGATGGACCAGAGCTGAGTGTCTTTCTGTCAGAGTCAGAGGTCAGCATACGTCTGCTGGTTTTTTCTCTATAAAAAATGTGATTCAACTACTTTCATGAGTCCTACAGGAAAAGTTTCCTACAAGTAGACCAGCACCATAAATATTCCTCTCTCAGGAAGCCAAACCCTAGGAGTTTTAAGCTTTAGTTCCACTGATGGGTTCGGCACCAGTCGAGTCTTTTCTGTTGCAAAAGTGCGCCATGCAACCAACCTGGACCATGCCATTCACGGGTCCGCCACAATTTTAGATCCAAAGAACAGAGCTGTACGCCTAGAGGAGACTAATTGTTGTCACAACCGTCTGATTGTGGAACAGAAAATCACAACTGCATGTGACAAGCTAAATAAATGCCGGTGTTGTTTGTATCATTATTAGTACATCAACATGAAAAGATGTCACAAAGTCAGGTTTGGTTTGGTTCAGAACATTCCTCCCCATCATCGGCAATAGCTACATACAGGACAGTATACCTTCCACCCACTGGAACGAAAGCTTTAGTGAATCTGATCTGGACTAGAGGTAAAACTAAATCAAACCTCGCAAACTTCTGATGTGGAAAAATCTAAGGAAATAAATGATAAACGCACTTTAGGTAAGGGAACATGTCTCACATATCCAATAAACGACTTACTGTTCCAGTGTGCTGATTAGAACAGCTCTACGTACTCTAACCCAACCTGTGTGGTCTTTATTCTTTTGTTGTTCTGAAGCGGTCATTTATGTGGAGCTTTAATCAGCTGATTCTGCTGTGGCTATTGGCAAACATCACAACTGTACTAGCGATGAGTAGTATCGGGCTGATACTTGACGTGGTATCTCCTGTAGTTTATATATTAATGTTTCATTATGAAACAGGCTCCAGACTGTTAGCTGGTGGTCCAGCAGCAAATATCCTGAAGATTAAACTTCACTAAAACAGGTTTGTTAGAAAAAGTTCTTTTTAATCAGAATGTAAAAACAAAACATGCAAATGATCAAAATGAAAATGTCTATTCAGAAACAATCGTCTGTTTTTCCAGTAACTATGTGATGAAAGCAAATAAATGTTCTGACAACCAGTTTAAAAAGATAAAATGATTAAACCTTTTCCTGCTGCTCACCTTTAACTTTTGTTGTAGTTTTAAAAAGAAATAATTAGTTCCCCTCCTTCAGAAAGAACAAACACACCCTAAAAACATTCAGGTATAAAACAGCTTTGTATGAAAACAATGACGTCACACAGGAAAAACAGGAATACTCGGAACATCTTGGAGGTCCTCAGCAGGATCTTCATGTGATGAGCTGTGGAGAAACATCAAAGTTTAGGTCAACTAGTTTGCCATCGAGCACACCAACACCCCTAGAATGTGTGAAGATGAGAACCAGATGGGTTAAAGTCCACATCAGCTGCTAAGGCAGGGGTCACCAACAGTGATGGGAATAACGCCGTTTAAAATAACGGCGTTCTTTTATAGGTAACGGAATAATCTACGTAATTACTTTTCCCACTGTTGCAACGCCGTTACCGTTACTGGGGACGGAAGGTTGTGTGTTACTATGTGCTTGTTGAACGTTGAGCATCAGTGTGAGGCTTTCTGACCGCCACACTTCAGCTGCAGCCAGGGAGAGAGGTGTCGGTAACGCACTTACAAACACGATGATGATTGGCCGGGTGGGCGGTGACCCTCAGTGTTCTCACCGTCTCAGTCGCTGCCTGCTGTAGACCCAACAGAGCAGTGATGGGAATAACGCCGTTTAAAATAACCGCATTACTACAAAAAGTATTTCTTTCAGTAACGAGCAAACTAATTAATTACCGTCTTATCAAAACGTCGTTTCTGTTACTGATAAGGAAATGCGTACGCTAAACAGCGCGGAGTGCTGAAACAGTCATCAGCTGATCAGGAGCTAGAGAGGCAGATGTTTTCGTCCAAGCACATCACGGCCGTGAAGAACGAGGAAGACGTGATGAATAGTCTACAGCTGCAGGTGTGGATCTGCAGCCGTGCCCTTCTTAGCGTGACAGCGGGACGTCCCAAAGGTCCGCTCACCTGTTCACCGCTCAGACGTCCTGATCTTCTACCTTCCTAGATCATCCAGCTGTAACCTGTTCCTGATCATCTCTTTAGCCCCGCTGCAACACTGATGCATCTGTCTCAAACGTCATGGAGCTCAGGTGTTATTAGAACTACCTGTGTGTGTTTACCACCCAGCTTCAGCTCTTCTGTGGTTGGGTCTGACCCAAGTTAGTAAATGTAAGTCCTTCATCAGGTTTGTGCCTCTTCTAGTGTCTTTTTAAAGGATTTTATTTATTTATTTAACCATTACTAGATTACCAGCAACAGAAATGCTACTAATAACACACAATCATGTGAAGCTGGAAAAATTAAAATACTGTGCAAAATTACATTCATTTCTGTAATTTAGACTGAGAGACCATTTAAAGGCTCGGGAAGCTTTACAGGTGTTTCTATTTGCATTTTTAAATTTTAGCTGATTGGGGTCTTGTTAAATATCACACAGTGACCTTTTAATAGTCTAGATTAGTGTAATGTTCTTGTTAGTAGTTCCTCCTGTTAAGTGCTTATTTAAATTATTCAGGTTTATAAAAAACATTTTGACATACATTATTATTTTCCAGTCATTAGTCATTTATATTTCACTATTGTAGTAATTTATAGTAAATGAAGTAAGTTCAATTAACCCATTTTTCTTGCATTCTTTAATGAAAAAAGTAACTAAGTAGTTATTTTTCTTGGTAATTAGTTACTTTTATAATCTCGTAAGTCAGCTAGTAACTGAGTTACTTTTTTGACAAAGTAATTAGTAACTATAACTAGTTACTTTTTTAAAGTAACTTTCCCAACACTGGTCACCAACTCCCGCACCTTAGCCTGGTTTTTTCTTCATAGCTGACACACCATGTTGTTCACTTCCTCATTTCGACCAGGTGTGTTACAACAGGAAACAGCCCAAACCCCAGAGACAAGATGACGGTAAATAGCCAGACTCTGACTTTATTCACTGAATTTCTGAACGTTTACATCTGTCACGTGGTTGAAGATCAGCTGATTAGGAGTCCAGACCCCACCCACCACCCAGGGTTAAAGTTTAGTTAGATTTCACACCGATGAGTGTAATTTGGTGTCAAGCAGGGGGGAGGCTGTGGGGCCCATATGACCTGACTATGGAGTTGAACCCACGATCTTCCATTCTCAGGGCAGACACTCGCACCACTAGGCCACTGAGCTGGTTTCAGAGTCAGCATGATTCATTCACTCACACCTGGGAAACGACGACGCTTAGCCTGGTGGGTGACCAAGCAAAGCCTGGTGGCCCGCCAGGCTTATAAAGCACTGCCACCTCCACCCACACAACCCAGAAAAAGGTGACTGACTGGCTTGTAAAAATAAATCTGAAAAATTCTGCACTTATGAACCTTCAGAATTATTTCCAAGTTTGGTTTTAGGTTAAAAACATCCAGAAGAAACATAATAAAGGCTCTGGTTGGCTTGACACTCACAGATTTGACTGTCTGTTTGATGAAGTCCTTCCTGGTGCTCAGGTCGTGTTCTGGATATGTGTCGAACACCTGGAACACGGGAGAAAGTTCAGGCAACATCTCAGACTCGGATGTGTGAGGAGACAGGTGTGGACTTCTCACCCTCTGACAGATCTGCTTCATGGTCATCTCCTCCAGGTTGGCATTTTTCAAGAGACTCCGGACTGTGTCGTTCAGCTGCTCATCACTCGGAGATCTCTTTATCATTCGGATGAGCGGCTCGTTCTCATCTGAGCTGTCCTCTGCTGCAGAGACCACAAGAACAACAAAACCCGGTCAGAAAAACATTGGAAACTGATTCAAAAGGAAAGAGGTGTGTGTGTGTGTGTGTGTGTGTGTGTGTGTGTGTGTGTGTGTGTGTGTGTGTGTGTGTGTGTGTGTGTGTGTGTGTGTGTGTGTGTGTGTGTGTGTGTGTGTGTGTGTGTGTGTGTTTTGCATCTGTGACCCACTGAGCATGTCTGGAGCAAGTGGGCGTGGCAGCTACAGCGGTCAGGTGAGCTCACCTGCATTAGCCTTGCTGTTGCTGCTGCTGTCAGCCTTCTTGGTTTTGGCAGCAAGTTTCTTCTTCTTTGGCTGTAAAAGCAGCAGATCAGCAGCTGGACTTCAAACAAGGACTGGACAATAAAGCCCCATTCCCATCTGTACCGGGTCGGCCCGGGCCGGGTAGCGTAGGTTGTTTACATATCTGGGTGGCCTGGAATTTTCCCGGGCCAACCAAGGCTCATTCTCGGCCCTCTTCCCGAGGGGTACTGCTTCAGGCCGACCAGGGCCAACACACCCACTGCTGACAGCAAATTCACACCTTCCATTAGAGCAAGCCTCTGATTGGTGGGTAGAATCAGCCCATTCACACCTTCCATTAGAGCAAGCCTCTGATTGGTGGGTAGAATCAGCCCACATGGGCTTAAGACAAGGATGTGTGGAATTAACCGGGCCAGGCTGGGGCCGACTGGGGCTACCCGGCCCGGGCCGACCCGGTACAGATGGGAATGGCCCATAAGTCAATAAGGATATATATCCATCCATATATGTCTGGTGCGATAAAAAACGAATGTGTCAATAAAACGTTTGCTTTCTTCATTATCAGCTATCCTTCTGTCTCAAACCAAGGACAGGTGGAGGAAGTTGGTTACAATAGTTCACCAGTAAGGTTCTATTATGACAACAAACTGCAGTCGTTTGCTAGATTAGGATCAATAAAACCCAGGTCTGGTAACACAACAAACTAGTTTTATTATAAAGCGATGACATAAAATGGCTAGGGCTGCACATAAAATATATCGCTATGGTTTTTTTCTCTATCGTCCAGCCTTACCTTAGACAACAGGGACCTTCAAGTGTCTCCTACCTTCTCAGCTTCACTGCTGTCGGACTCCTCTGAAGTTCCCATCTTGGCTCTCTTTTTACGAGGACCGGTCTTCTTTGCTGGTGTCTGCTGCCGCTTTGCTGGAGCCTTCTTCTTCTTCTGCCCTCTGTCTGACTTGGGCTCGGAGGACTGAAACAGGTTCAGATGTTGGGTGAGCAGAACCAAAACCGGGTCGCAGTGTTTCTAGCTGCTGAACTAACACTGAAATAGCGGTCTGTGGACAGATAGGAGTACGGTGTCCCAGATGGGACATTTCTAAGCTGAGCTGATTCAGCTTTGCTGTAGAAACAATAATAAAACATCACCAGAATTTAAAGGGTTGGGGGTTCAAACCTTGCTTCCCTGTAGCTGCTGAAGTGCCCTTGGGCACAAAACCATAAGTTTATATAGAAAACAGTTTAGAGATAAACCTGAGAAACAGCTTTCTCCTTCAGCTCAACTCCTCACCTCTTTACTCTCCTCCTCTTCTTCAGAAGACTCATCTGACCCATCAGAGCGCTCCTCCTCCCTCTCGGATGGCTTTTCCTCACCGTCTGATCCCTCTGCCTCTGCTGAAGCTCCTGCTTTCTCATCTTCCTCTTCACCATCGTCATCGCTACTGGAGTCCATGACAATGGCTTTAGATTTACTTCCTGCCTTGGACTTTTTGGGACTAGATGAGGAGCTCCTGGCTTTAGATTTACTCTTCTTGGTTTTAACCTTTGAGTCATCGCCAGTTAACTTCTTCTTTGATTTCCTCTTCTTCTTCACAGGAACAGGCTGCAGAAAAAAAAAACAGAACAGCTGTGTGAGGGGAGACCTCCACCAGAACTCACTCTTCTACAAACATCAAACCACTATGGTCAATGTGTGAGGAACCAAACGTGAAAATGGTTTGAGTCATTCCTCTGTGAGAACATGTTGACTCACCTTCCCGCTGTTCTTTGGGGAAATGAGGAAGGTCAGAATCCGGTCAATCAGATCAGAGTGGGTTCCTTTCTTCTCCAGATCCAGAACAGTGCAGACAACCTTCAGCTTGGTGTTGGTGAAGCTGGAGTTTCTGAAACGATACGCGGGATGTTTATGGAAGGATCTTGACTGAACCCTCAAACACAAACCATAAATTATATCTGCACATCTGGGAGCTAGGGACGAGTCCTGTGTCCAGGCCTGTGCTGATGTGTGGTGGTGTCTAAAGCCTCGCAGGCCAGGCCATGGTCCCAACCCAGGACCCGCATCATCGGTCTGAGCGAGACTGAATGTAAAAAGAGCAGCAAAGTGCTGCTTATTCCGTGTGTGTGTGTGTGTGTGTGTGTGCCAGACTGCTTGCTCTTTTTTTATAATTAAAACTCCAAACAAACATCTGGCTTTACAAACATTCATGTATCTGCTCAGCTTCACACCAAACACACGCGTGATCTCCAGCCTCTTTCTGGACCACTGGGATGGAAGCTTCATGCAGCTTCACCTGGCCATCACCAGTAGGAGGTCCTATCCTTTAGTCGGGTCAGGCAGCTAACAGGAACTTACTTGAGAAGCTTTTCTCGTTTCTTGTTGTATTGCTCGCTGTCGACGTCAAAAGGGAAGCCGTTGAACAGCCGCAGGTTCTTCTTGAGTGTGGCCATCTGAGAGACAAAAAGCAGTTTCACGTTTGACTCTGGGGTGTTTCTATGAAGAACTCAAGACTGAAGCTGGTGCTTTTCCCCTTTGTTACTTCACATATTTTTCTGTGGGATTACTGAACATGAACACATGAATAACTCCCACCTGCAGCTGACACCTGCCTGTAAATAACTACTGAAAAGTGGTCATTGGGTACTTGATCAATCAGAATGGGGACTTTTCTGGTTGGAGATGAACAGGTGATTTTGGAGCTGTGCTCAGGTCAGTTTTCTGGGTTTGGTTCAGCTGTTTGTACCTTTCCCGGTCTGTCAAACAGGAGCATGTGCAGCTGTTTCAGATCCACCAGCTTCATCCTGGTGATCTGATGATTGGTTCGAGGGATGTCTCCTAGTTTATCTCCACTGCCTGCAAACACCAGACGTTAACCAGCTGTTGGTTTGTATTCATACACATCTAAACCTCTTTTGTTGCACACCATCTCCGATCTTCAACTTCTCTTTGGTTTTTGGCGCCTGGAGATCCAGTCTCTCCACAGTCTTCTTCACTCGCTTCCCTTCGATGATTTCACCCACAGCTGTAACGGAAAGAACATGTCAGCATGCTGAAGCTGTTCCAGACAAATAAACCTTTACAGAACCCAGAAAGGAACAACCCAACACGAGTGACAGTGCAATCAGACAACTCTCCTCACCAGACTTCTTGGAGCTATTTTTGTTTGGACTCGTCTCATCCTCCAGCACTGTCTCCTGCTGATCCTCAACGTCCTCCTCAGATCCCACGGAGCTGTCCATCGCTTCCTCCGCCGCGTCGCTCATGTCTGCACAGCTGCTTTGAGTCCCCGTTTAATTGATCCTGAAAGAACACACCAGGTTTATGATGCTATGCTTACAGCTAACTAAATAAGAGAAAAGCTCAGCTTTCAACTGCTCCTCCACTTGCAGAGTTACTCTGACACACCTGTCGCATCCACAGGTCTGTTCCACAAAGCTGAGTTAAAAGTCTAAGAAACCCTGGTTTTAGTAAAGGTCTGAGCCCAAATACGTCACCATGGTAACACATTTCATAAACTAAACCTGCCCGCCCCACTAAGAAAAGACAACATGAAAAGCTTCTCCTGTTCTTTAGACCACATGCAGTCAGACCTTTACTTCACTAGCAGACTGAAGTCAAACTTTTGTGGTGTGTAGTTCATGTGTTTTACATGTATTTGTTTAATTTAGTTTTATTGGTCTTTGTGTGGTTTTGTGGTGTACATCGCTGTGGTCAGTTCTCACGCTGTTTATTGTGCTTTTATAAATAAATTTGGTATGGTAATTGGTTTAATTCAGTAAAGGTTTCTGCTCATGTTGCCCAGGAGCATGAATTTGATTACAAACAGTCATGAAGACATGATCCGGTCTGTGGATCCAGAGTGAGTGTTCTGTCCGGTAGCTCCGGTGCCGAAGTGTGTTCAAGCTTCTGATAAGTCACTAGTCTGATAACGGATCACAGTTAACCAATGGATCACCAAAACCACGCTTTGTATTCTAAAAACAAGAAGGACGGATGGAGTCCGGTGCCTCTTATACACACGCGCGCGCGCACACACACACTTACTTAACCTCATGAGTTGATGTTGATATTAGCGGAAACGGTAACATGCAGCTGACTACTTTAATCTTTTTTATTTATTTCATGTGCACGCGGAGAAGAGCGCGGAAACTATAGCTTTCAAACAACTTAGCCGATTAGTTAGCCGCGCCGAAAAACTGACCAATAAACTCAAAATACTACCTCACTTCCGCGTCAAGGCTGCGCCAATTGGTTAGTTAGCGGAAGTCATTTAGTCAAGCCATCGGTTTACCGGGCAATGTAAACATTAAGATTAGGCAGCGGGGAATATGCGCGGGGTTAGCCGCTGCAGCTAACACCACAGCTAGCTCCGACAAGATTCAACAGACCAAACAGCGACACGATGAGGCACAGCAAGTTCCGCTTTCATGCCCCCAAGCAAGCCGTCTACGGCGGGAAGAAAACGCAATAACTTTACCTGTTCCCGAAGAACCGAGCAAACAGAACCGCAACCCGCCTGTCACTCATGAGAGCGATATGCTATGTGGGCTGGGACTACAACGGCGCCCACGGTGCTGATTGGATGAGTGCTGCAGACGTCACATTGTTATCTCACTACCGGCCCCTACCGTTACTGGAATCGCTTTATGCTAAAACCAAGCCCCCACAATGGAGCTCTTTGTTTTTTTTTTTTAACAAGTTTTATTAAACCAATGAAGCTTACAGGCTTACATAAGAATCAATATTTACAGTTGAATTCTGAGCATGACCAAAAAAAGCAGGTGTACAAACAGAAACAATAACATTAATCTAGCTCAATATCAACCTGCAGAAGTCATAACCAAATAAATATATACATATATTACATCAAACAACATTATTAGGGGTAAAGGAAACATTCACCAAATTGTTATAGAGCCAAATGGCTTTCTTGGAACTACATAATTTAAGAGAATCCATGAAGGATGCAAGTTCTTTCAAAAAACAATAAAGATCGGTTTGATATTGCCAAATTTACATTTGTGTATAAAGAATTTGGCGAAAATAATCAAATTATTGACAGTGAATTGCTGCATTTTATTTTCCAAACTAATAACATACTTGATGTCAGAAAAAGATAAGGAGCGTATAATGAAATTATTATGCGTTAACCACGAGTGAAAACTGTCCCAGAAAATTTTTGTAAAGATGCATGTGAAAAATAAATGTATCTCAGTTTCTATATTAGAAGTGCAAAAGGCACAATCGTTCTCTCCAATATTAAATTTAGACTGCAAGAAATCTTTGCAAGGATAAATACTGTTTGTAGTTTTAAAATAAACTTCCTTGGCTTTAGGAGGGATTGGGAATTTGAGATAGTTGCATCTAATGTTTTTAACATCAGAATTACTAAATTGACGTACTAATTCCCGTCTTCTAGAGGTAACGGAAAGAGGGTGTCAGTGAGCCAACATCTAAGGATTTTATTGTTGCAGTTCCTGTCCACAGAAGAACAGTTCTTAATTGGTAAAGGAGGCATTTTTGGAATAAAGTGAGAGTATAACAAAGTGCCTTTCAAATTAGCATATATAGCTGGTGGGATTGCCTTGATTACCTCGGCATATTGCTTAGAAGAACAAGTTAGGTTAAATTTTTGAATGAAAACCGTAAAATTAAGAAATTCTCCATTCTGGTCCATCAAATGCAAAATGGACCATACTCCATGGAGATGCCAATCATTAAAAAAATAAGATTTCCTTTTAATCAGGATATAACGGTTGTTCCATATTGGCGTGTTGTGCGGTGTGAAGTTATGTTTATACATTAATTTCCAATATTGTAGAACTTGCTCGTGAAATTTGGATAGCTTAATAGGGAGTTTGGATAATTCAAAGTCACATTGAAGAAGCAATTGGATTCTGCCTACACTGGAGAAAATTTTAGCAGGAAGATTAAACCACAACATATTTATATTATTTATAAAATTTTGTAGCCATTTTAACTTAAGTGCACCATTCATTATATCGAAATCGATTGCATTGAGACTCCCTTCCTCTATTGATTTGATGAAGTCATTCCTTCTTATATAATGATGTCTGTTTTTCCATATGAAGTTAAAATTGTTTTGGTTAATTTCTTTAATAATATTTTGAGGAATTCTTAGAGAATAAGCCGGATAGATAATTCTTGACAATCCATCCATCTTGGATAGAAGTAATCTACCAAAAATTGAGAGATCTCTTTGTAGCCATATGTTTAAAATACTTTTACTCTTTTTAATTAAGCTCTCAAAATTACATTTTACATTTGTTTCTAAGTTTTTTGAGATTGTAATCCCTAAATACTTGACTTGATCTTTAACAGGTATGCCATGCAGAGTTGTTTGAGGATGATCATGAATGGCTCCCACAATGGAGCTCTAAAATTGAGTAAGGCTAGGTATTATTGCTAAAATTGAGTCAAACTCGGAAGTACCAAAATTTGCAGTTCCACTCTCATCCGCTGGGGGCTGTCAGAAGCGAGCAAATCCTCATTGACTCCCATGTTAAAAATACCAATTTCACAGCAGAAATAAACATGTTTTACAGCCTGGTTCCAAAACATGTTTTTTGTTTAAATTATCTAGTTTACACTCATGACAACTCTGAGGGGGGTGAATTTTTTTTCTCACTCTTCTGTTTAAGTGTATTAAAAGCCTAAAATTCTGTATAATTAATGAGCATCCGATACACGTGACCGCCGCCTCAGACCCACGTGACCACAGAGCTAGGTCCGTGGAAAGGCCTCAGTAGAGCCTCGGTCTGGCTTGGAAACTGCTCCGGCATTTTGAGTCTTTGTGTTTGTGTATTCTTTTTGGGATATTTTTTGTGCAATTGTTGGACAAAATGACTTGCTGTGGCATTAATTGCACTAATAGAGCGTCCAAGGAGTCTCCACTTCATTTGTTTCGGTAAGTAAAATTATATTTATGTATTTTAGGTCACTACCTAGCTGAGCTTAGATTTTAACATGTACTGTTTAACCATGAAATTTAAATTTAATAGGGTAAAACCCAGTGCATTTAACATAATGCTGCATTTTAGAAAATGGGTTGAAATATAAAATGTTGGTGGAGCTGGGTTCCAACTATTGGCTTGTGGAGCTCTTGGGAGACTGATGTTTTCCACCCGTTTCTCCCCTGGCTTCGCTGCTTCTGTTTGCTGCGCGGAATGCCGGTTGTTTCTCCCTGCAGCTCGGCGCATCTCGGTCTGATCGCGGCTTCTGTTTGATGCGCCGGGCTGCTGGCTGGGTCTCCCTGCAGCTCGGCGCATCTCTGTCTGATCGCGGCTTCTGTTTGCTGTAAAGAATGCCGGCTGTTTCTCCCTGCAGCTCGACGCATCTCTGTCTGATCGCGGCTTCTGTTTGCTGCGCGGAATGCCGGCTGTTTCTCCCTGCAGCTCGGCGCATCTCTGTCTGATCGCGGCTTCTGTTTAATGCGCCGGGCTTTTGGCTGGGTCTCCCTGCAACTCGGCGCATCTCTGTCTGATCGTGGCTTCTGTTTGATGCGTGGGCTGCCGGCTTGTGGAGCTCTGGGATGGAAACCTTTCTACCCGGTTCTCCCCAGCAGCAGCTTTGCGCATCTCAGATCGCAGCGGCGCTTGTCTGCTGTGCGGCTGCCAGCTTGTGGAGCTCTCGGAGACCTCTGTGTTCCATCCGGTTTTACCCAGCGGTCAGCCCGGTGTATCTCTGACTCAGAAGCTCTGGTGTTGTGCACAGTTAACTCCGGTTGTAGCTAGGTTGCTACCTCCATTAGCTTAGCTCCCACCTCCGAGTTAGCTTTGGGTTAGCCAGGGTTAGCTTCAGGTTAGCTTGTAGCTAGTTCGACCGGGTGTCGTCAGTTGATCCCAGCCTTACAGCCCCACCCTCAGCTCCTCCTCTCTTTCCTTTTGTGGAATTGTCTGGGCTTGACGGAACCTGTGACACAGTCAAAATGGCGGTGGTGGATGGCAAAAAGACCATTTACACCCGTTGAAACTCCAGTGAAGCTAGTCAAAACAAGCCAGTTTGTAGCCTTTTATCGCTTTTATTTAGTTGATTTGATAGTAAAATGGTTTTAGCTTGCTGCATTGTTGGCTGCACTAACAGACAAGGATGTAAACTCAACTTGTTTTGTTTTTTAATAACTTTGATGGAGACTGAGGACGGAGATGAACTGCCGCATCAAGTGGACTAGCACCCCTCAGATTTGCAGCAAACATGTTTTTACCGGGTAAAATTAACGTTCATTTATTTCACGAGGAAGACAGGGACAGGGATAAATGTGATGTGCTTGTACTAGTTATTGATAATCCTGATGGATAGGTATTTCACCACAGATGATGCGTGCCATCCACTGTAGTGTAAAGCGAGATAATTATTAATAGGGTTGCACAATGTATCGCAAATATATCGTTATCGTGATATCAGCATGCACAATATGCATATCGCAAAGAACAGATAAATATCGCAATGAATGGTCAGCTCAAATGTTTGCTACACATAATGCATTCAGTCCATCAAACAGAAGATTGGTGTTTTTTTAACAAATCAAATAGAGCTCTTCACCCATTTGGCCAATCGGGTGGGTTCTCATAGGTTAGACGCCCTCCCCCAAGGCGGACGGCACTTCATTTAGATGGTTAGCAAACACCTGAGTTAGCTTCGTTTGCTCTTTTTGCTGATTCTGCTTTTCCCGGGATCCACGGATTGCCTTTTCTTGTTCATTTTATTTTTCCCTTTCCTCACATCTTTTGCTTTTCTCATTTTTATGATTTTTAAATTTTTTTGTTTTTGATTATTTTTGTTCCTGAGTTAAGTTTTTATTTATTGCAAGTAATATCGTCATCGCAATATTAATCATTGTTATCAAATATCACAGGTTTTCCTAATATCGTGCAGCCCTAATTATTAACAATATTAAAGCTCCGATGTATGATTACATGTGTTAAAATTACGTTATTTATTTATTTATATGAGCGTCGCCATTCAGAGATCTTCTCATTCCGGTGTGAGAGCAGCAGCTGAACCCGGTAACACCACCATCAACAAGGGATCTGGACTTTTTAACAATCAGCTTTGGTGTAAAGTGAATTGCTGTTTATAACATAATGTTATAAATCCAGCGGGGTAAATTTAGGCAAAGTCAGCAACATGTTTACATCGGTGAACAGCTGCAGAGAGAACGTAAGCTAACGTTAGTGAGCCCCGGCTAGATGCTCTACTTCTTCTGATAACTGAACTGGGCATGAACTAGTTGAAGGAATGCTGGAGGAGTTTTGTTTTTGTTTTGATCGCAAAAACAATTTCAGGCTCTACTTTCCCCTTTGTTTAGTACTCGTGTCACTTACTGTTTACATGCTTTTGCCATCCAGC